GAAGAAAATGTGGCGCATTTACCCAACGACAACGAAGTATTACTCAGCCGTATTTGCAGGCGACTGGAGACAACTAGAAAAGATCGTCCTGTATGAGGTGACCCAGACCAGGAAGGCAAATATGATCGGTGCCTTGTCCTGTTAACATCATGGAGGCTTCCTCTGGTAGCAGAGAGGAGCAGGAACAGAGAACCACAGCCAGACATTATGCAGAGAGAGAGAGTCTGAACTGGAGGTCTCCTTTGGGTCCTTGCCCTCAGGAAACTGCACTGAAGAGGGAGAGGAAAGATTGTAGGAGTCAGAGGTGATGGAGGGCAACAGGACATCGCCCACTGAATGGGAGCAGGACTCACACTGGCTTACAGTGAGTGAAGGGGCAAGCATGGGGCCTGCACCAGGTCCTCTGACTCCTTTCCTCCTACTGAGCTACCTTCTCCAGCCTCAATACGAGGCGTCTTGCCTTGTCTAACTGTATCTTGTTTTGCCATGTTTGACTGCTGTTCTTGGAGGCCTGCTCCTCTCTGGAGGGAACAGAGCTGGACTGCATTTGGGGAAGGGGGGGCGGAGCAGGGAGGAGTGGAGGGCAGGAAATTATGGTCAGGATGGATTGTATGAAAGAAGGACCTATTTTCAATTCAAAAATTTAGTAAAAAAGTTGTCTTTGTTCAAAATTAGGAACAAAGGTTTACCTAATTCTTACTTTTAGGAATAGACTGTGGGGCCTCTTTTGCTTGTATACATTGATTTCCAATTTTGTGTTTTATAGTGTGTGTGTGTGTGTGTGTTGTACTTTTTCTTTTTTGTTCTGTTTTGTTTTGTTTTTGTGTTTGTTCTAAAGAGGAAGGCAAAGAAAGGAGAGGAGTTGGGGGATGGGGAGAGTGAAAGGATCTGAGATGGAGGAGGGTAACTGTAATCAGAATAGGTTGTATGAAAAATATTATTTTCTTCTGTTTTTTTTAGATGAGGTTTATCTATATAGCACTGGCTGACCTGGAACTAGTTCTGTAGACCAGGCTGGTCTTGAACACATAGAGATCTTCCTGTCTCTGAGTACTGGGATTTGCTGTCACCACCTGGCAAAAAATATTATTTTCAATGCGGGTGGTGGTGGTGAGCTCTCAAGCATGCTAAGTTTATGCTTCACCTGTAGAGCTGGGGAACAAACTCAGGGCGTTGTGTGTAAGGAACAAACCCTCTACCAATTGGGCTACACCTCCAGTTCAGTTTACCTATTATTTAATATTGATAGTACCAAATGATGAAACAGCCTACATGATTGTCTTTTGAGGTCTGAACCCAGGGACTTAGGCGTGCTAAGAATCCATTCTATCTCGAAACAATACCTACAGATCCACGAAAGAAAAAATGTCACATGGTTACTGGAGCAGCAAAATAAAACGCAATTCAGAAAACAAAACATTTCTTTAAAAATACTTCTCTGAGTGTGTGTGTGTGTGTGTGTGTGCGTGTGTGTGTGTGTGCGTGTGTGTGTGAGTGAACGTGCGTTTGCACGTATATGCACAAAGACCACAGGGTGGTGATGTTACAATGTTGAGTTCCTCTATTGCTCTCTACATGGTGTTTGTTTGTTTTTACTTATTCTGTATATGATATGTGCACATGAGCGTGAGTGTGGATGCGTGTCATTGTGCACATGTGAAAGTCAGAGAACAACTTCCAGCATCAATTCTCTCTACTGTGCAGCTCAGGGATCAAACTCCGGCAAGTGTTTTGACTCACTGAGTCATCTCCCTGCTGACTCCTCACCTTGTTTTAAGACAGGGTCTGTCACTGAATCTGAGGGCTGGCTGGCCAGTGAGCTCCAGGGAGCCTCCTGTATCCTTCCTCAAAAACAGGATTACAAGCACACACACCATGCTTGGCCTTTTATTTCAATGCTACTGATCTGAGCTTTGGTCCTCATGCTATTTGGCATGCACTTATTGACTGAGCCATTTCCCTAGTAACATAAAACAATTCTTATGATGCTAATTACCCAAAACAACCAGTCCTATGAGTAAGAGACACTACAAAACAACAATATAGAATACTCATGGCACACCTGTCATTACAGCGCACAAGAGGCCTGAGAGCTCACAAGCAACACACACTACCCAGGGAGACCCAGTCCCTGTCTCAAACACCAGGAGTGAAGTGACAGAAATCCACAAAAGAAAGCAACACCCTTCAAAAAACTCAAAACTCTTTACAAACAGTTTTAAAACTACCTTTAAACAAAGGAAATGCTAGTGGTACGTTTTCCTTACTTGCCTTGGCAATTACCTCTTTTTGTTTGTTTGTTTTGTTTTGTTTATTGAGACAGGGTTTCTCTGTGTTTTTGGAGCCTGTCCTGGAACTAGCTCTGTATACCAGTCTAGTCTTGAACTCACAGAGATCCGCCTGCCTCTGCCTCCCGAGTGCTGGGATTAAAGGCGTGCGCCACCAACGCCCGGCTGGCAATGACCTGTTTAGTGCAGCTTCTAGATCAAATTCTTCCGAATAAAACTTCCGAGAACTCATTTGACTTGTTAGGAGACATGGATTCTCCCTCAAGGTCTGTGACAGTGATGGCACTAGCTGCTGTCTTAGAACTCGTCTGACAGTGGGAACTGCGGGCTAGGATGGAGAATGACATTGGGAGAAGTGGAGGATACTTGACTTGGAGTGGGAAGGGCTTTAAAAGGTCATGTGACAGAGCCTGAACTACATCCCACACGAGGAACGGCAGCTATGGGATATACTGATTCATAACTCTACAAAGTCATTAAATAAAAAGATTACTATTGTTCTAGATTCTCTGCTTCCTGTTACATTACCAGATGGCTTCTCCTTCCTACATTTAGGTGGCTTTGAATAAGACATTAAAATATACAAATCTTAGTTCCAGTACAAAATGAAAACAAACTTTGAACACATCCCAAAGAAGGTGGTGTGGCTCAGCCGAGACAGCAGAGAGAACAGGCAAACTAGACACACAGAGCCACAGGGCAAACCTTGCTTGCCCAGTAACTGAAAGAGACGTCAGGGGTCTGAATGAGGATGCCCACCCCAAACTCGGGTCCGAGAACGCCACCGGGAGACCTGAGCATGAAATGACTGCAGTCTTAGAATCACTGAAAAATAAAACTCCTTCAGGACTGGAAGCAGGAGTTGTCCTGAAGAAGCTGCCACTTTCAGGAGAGAAAGGACCCACCAGCGCCAGAAAGAAAAGCCAAAGCATCTAGTTCAGAGAGGCAAAAATTGAAAACGGACAGGAGAGTGAGCAGCCACTGGCTAGAGCGGTCCTTGTCCTGTGTGCCCTGGCTCTCTGCCTGCCTCTTATCCACTAAGCCACCTCTCCAAGCCTACATCTCTCTCCTTGTCCTTCCTCCAGTCTAAGTCCAGGGTGGGGAATGATGGGAACACAATGAAAGAACCGTGGGAAAAGCATTCATTTTGCTCTGACAAACCCTTGTCTGTAACTTTCAGACAGAACTGAAACAATAACTTTCAATTACTCTTACTATCTCTTCTTATATTGTCTATGAAAAATTTTCTTGCACAGTGCAGATAAAACACTTGAACTTTTTTCTAGTTATGGTTAGTAAAATTTTACATGAGAATCGCTTTCTCTAAAGTATTTAATTGGTACATCATGTTGCAGCAATTACTAAGCCATAGTTAACTTTTTCTGTGGCTATTCCAACCAAGCTAAAATTTTTAATACTAATTCTAAGTGTTTTGGTCTATGATACATTTACTTCCTGCCTGTTATTTTTACCGGCAGTACAGACACTTATTTGATAGTTAGAAATGCTTTCCTAAGAAATGCAGGAAAGTTTATAATCTATTGTAAATCATTCTCAAGTGTCCCAGATCAGTTATGTATTGCTAAGTGTAATCTGTGCATACTCAATTATTTTGCACGCCCCTTTCTGACAGCATTCACAGCTGGCGGAGCAAAGATCCAAGAAGAGGGGCCAGTCATAGCATTAGTGAGATCTCAGCAGTGAGCAATCACACCTACAGCTCTGCTCAGCACAGTCATTTGAATAAAAAAAAAAAAATCAAATTTTAGGAAGTTATCTCTTAGGCTCCATCTGTATCGCTTCTAATAGTCCACCTGTATTGCTTCCATTATAAGAGAATACAGAGGCGGAGGGGGGGGCGGGGCAGCGGAGGGGCACCAGCCCAGCATACGGAGGGTCATATATGCAGAACATATGTAGGCATTCATCCCTAGCACCATTACAAAATGTACTTATGATGAATTTCAAATGCTCCTTTTCCGAAGTGTTTTTTTAAAAGGACTTAAACCCAAGGCTGAGATGCAGTATGTAATATGCAACCCCATATGATCATGCTGAAGGGTGGCTAAGTGAGGTAACTCACTCACACATTCATCCCTCTTATCTTTATCATTTCCAATATCACAGCAAAGTATCTGGGTCTTGGATACCGGTTTACACTAAAAACGGAACAGCCGGGCATCAAATGAAAGCCCTGCATTCACAATGGATGTCCACACTCAATGAAAGAAAGCAGTGTGCCTAACTGGTCCTAAGACCCTTTCGTTTTGTTGTTTCCTGAGGTGGGTTTCTCTTTGTCTGTGTAGCCCTGGCTGTCCTGGAACTCACTCTATAGACCAGGCTGGCCTCTGTCTCAGAGTTCCACCTGCCTCTGCCTGGGATTAGAGGCTTGAGCCACCACTGCCTGGCTGGGCTCACACTATCTATAATAGGATCTGATGCCTTCTTCTGGCATGCAGGTATACATACATGCAACGCACTCATACATAAAATATAAATAAATTAAACCTTAAAAATTATGAAAATCTAAACAACTAATTGCCCTCTCATAACTGACCCACAGCGAGTTGGCCCACTGTTTTCTTAGCAGGGCGTGTTTTAGTCCTGAAACTCTACCATGGGTATTTCTGAACTTAAAAGTGTAACAGGCAAATTTTGATTACTGAAAGGAAGATCAAAGTCAGTAGCATAACATAAAAAAATGAAAGATACCCTGAAAACTACATGTGACTCGCTGAGCAGCGGCCCCTCTTTCTCCATGTAGCTCGACTCTCCTCCAGTGATGAGATGTGCGGTTCCTTCCATGCCTTCTACTGGGCTCTGACAGGCTGTGCTTTCTCCTGGAGTCAATGCCCTTGCAAGAGTGTCAAATGCCCTGTAAGGAGACATCAGAAGCTGTGAGCTCGTAAAATGAAATTCTTCTACAAAATCTGGATGACCATTTATTTAAGTCAAGGGGCTGTGGGAATACCTCAGCAGTAGAACTGTGTCTACCATGCACTAGGCTCTTGGGTTTAGTACCAGCACTGTGGGCAGGGTAGGGGGGGTTTAAGCATAAAAATTCTTTTGCAAATAGGGATGGGGTGTGGCTCAGTGGCTTGTGTAGTGTCCCAGAGGCCCTGAGCTCCGCCTCCAGCACCACTGTGGGAGGGGTCTGTATACACAAAGCAAACACAACAAACCAGGCTCCGGAAAACAGTTTTCTTGTATGACAGACAGACTTTGCATTTTAGTGACCTCTGTGATTAGCTCCAAAACCAAGAAATTAAACTTAGTAACGATAGTGTGAAATATTATAATTGCCATATTACCAAGAAATTACCATCTCTTCAAGCATGAGAGAGATAATCATGCTTATCCCTTCATAAATATACAAGTTATTTATGTTGACTTTGCTGTGTCAAACACAATACAGGTGCAGTGTTGACCTGACTTAAAAATTTAGAGACTATTTTTACACGTGTGGTTACTTACTGAAATGTACACAGTTAACAATTTAAGATTAGGAGGATAGATAACTGAAGTTTCCCATACTGTTAAATGATGCATTTTGCAGAGTTCCTTAAATGAAGTCATATGCTCAACAATTACCCAAGGCTCTGAACTGCTGTTTCCTCCTTTCCAGTGTTTTTACAGTGCTGTCAATCAAACCCAGGGTCTAGAGCATACCAGGCGAGCTCTCTACTGCCACTCAGGCATACATAGCCCAGCACAATATTAAATATTTAAATAACAAACGAAGTCTTAGAAAAGATGGAAGGAATTTCATCTCTGTAGTCTAAGTATTAATACTGGCAAGATAAAACCAAATTCTGATTCTGTATTCCTGAAGAATAATTTACAATTGTGGTTATTTCAATGAGCTCTTTGACATTTATTTTTATGGTTGGGAAATCATGCTTAGGAAACATGTTTCGTTCTACATAAAGAAATATCAGACTCCAACTGTCATTTAAAATGAAGGAAATTTCCAACTTGTTAGACTGCAGTACTAATTTTTAATGAATACTTACTATTTTTCAGTTAAACCTTACTGTGCCTTACAGTTTTCTTTTTTCTTTTCTTTTCTTTTCTTTCTTTTTTTTTTTTTCCGGAGGCAGGGTTTCTCTGTGGCTTTGGAGCCTGTCCTGGAGCTCACTCTGTAGACCAGCTCTGGCCTCAAACTCACAGAGATCAGCCTGCCTCCGCCTCCCGAGTGCTGGGATTAAAGGCGTGAGCCACCAACACCCAGTTATATTTTTCTATTTCTCATGCCCAGCTATATTTTTCTATTTCTCATTTCTTATACAAATACTAATTTTTGAAAACTTTGATAGACAGACGTTAACACAAAAACATTTTAATCATTTCAAAACGAAGTGTAGTGAGATGGGACCGGACTTTACCTTGAGACATCACCATTGGTCTGAATGTCTTGATGAAATGCACAGAAGGATGTGTCACCATTGCGTAAGCTTTCCACCACAGGCATGTTACTACTGTAAGAAAGGTCTTTAGCTTTGCCGAGATTTGCTAGTGACGTTACCACACTGGCCAAAGTGCTTAAGTCTCCCTGACACGATTCAACCTAAAAAAATAAATAAATAAAAAGAGAAAGTACTAAAATTATGCAAAGTGGTACTGCTATATCTGCTATATTTTAAAATCTTAAATTATCAAATTATAGGTCATAAAATACTAAAGGAAAAGGAAATTAATAAATCGAATTGCTGAACACAGCAGCTCATTTCTGTAATCCCACAATTCAAGAGGTCGAGGTAGGAAGATTACCACAAATTCAAGGCCAGTGTGGGCTACAGAGTAAGAGCCTGCCCTTAAAGAAAAAAAGAACTCTTAAGGAAAATACAAACTTAAAAATAGGTATAAGTTCTTAAAAATATTTATAAAAGTTTAAAAAAATATTTACTTACTAGCTATCTATCCATGTCATAGTTACTGCCTTTATAAAAGGATATCAAATTAGGTAATAAGTCTTTTTAGTACTAGTGATTTAATATTGTTAAGACTTCCAATAATAATAATAGTTATTGTTGTTGTTTTGTTTTCCAAGACAGGGTTTCTCTGTGTAGCTTTGTGTAGCTGGCCTCAAAACTCACAGAGATCCAACTGCCTCTGCCTCCCGAGTGCTGGGATTCAAGGCATATATCACCACCACCTGGCTTAAAATTATTTCTTTAGATGAAAAGTTTTCAATTTTAAGTGAATGGGTGTTTTGCCTGCATGTAAGTCTGTGCACCACATGCAGCCCGGTGCCCTCAGAGGTCAAGAGAGGGCACTGGGCTCCTGGAGTCACAGATGATTGTGAGCTACCACGTAGGTGCTGGGGACTTGAACTTGGGTTCTCTACAAGAGCAGTCAGGGCTCTTAAGCTCTGAGCCAGCTCATCTCCAGCCCCAAAGGTTTAGTTCTATTTTTTAAATAGTGTTCATTTGTGGGTACATTCATGAGTGCAAGTGTGTATGGAGGCCAGAAAAGGGCCCTGGACAGCCTGGAGGAGTTACAGTTGTGAGCCACCTGAGGGGAAGGCTGGGACACGAAGTAAGATCCTCTGTAAGAGCTCTTAACCACAGGGCCATCTTTCTAGCCCCTCAAAACGTCTTCCATAACAGACTGGCACAGAATCTAAACTGAGTAGTGAAAAGGGGGAAGGCAAATTTATTACCAAACAGACTCCTTAAGATGTCCCGGTCTTAACTGAAACGAAAGGGATCCTTTGTCCAGGTTTATTTACGTTTTCTTCTTCCCAGAGTTGAAGAACTTTCTAGTCATGCTATTGCTCTCTTGCATAGCACACCCTTCCCCACTGTCAGTCAATAACGAATACTATAATCTTTATGCACTGGCTGCCCCTTTTGTAAAAACTGTTCTCTCTGCGGTCTTCAGCTAAAATCACCACACAGGAAGAGTCTTCACTTTTTTCTTTAAGCTCTCAATCTGCAAAGCAACACGAGTTGACACTCAGCAATGTCTCATAGTGACACGAGCTTTTGGAATTACCGTGTTCAGTGAAAATGTGTTTATATACCTAAAGCTCCAATGTATTCAGTGCTTTTGGGGCTGGGGATATTGGTCAGTGGTTAATGTGCTGGACTCACAAGCAGTAAGTATCAGGACTGCACTGCAAACACCTAGAACCTATGTAAATGCCAGTGGGTATATGGTGTCTCTGTAATGTCAGCTTTCAGCTACAGAGCTGTATCTGTGGATTCAGTTGAGATCCTGCCTCAATGAAAAAGGTGAAGAGTAATCAAATCAGCCTCCCAACATCAGCCAAGGGGCTTCACATACATGTGTACATGTACACATGCATGGATATACAAACACATATGTATGCACACACACATGCATGCATGCATACACACAGAGGCACATAACCCAATAATACTTTTAATAATGCTCAAATTATCCCACCCAAACCTAATAACAAGACCTTCAGATTTCTTCTATAGCCTTTAATTTGCTTTTGTCTGTGTACATGATTTGTTTTTTTCTTTTAAAATGCAGAGTCCTGCTATGCAGATCAGGGCTGGCATGCTGCTTCCTACAGCATAGCCCAGGCTAGCCTTGAGCTTGTGATCCCCTACCTCTGCTTCCTGAGTTGGAATCACAGGCGTAAAACACTACATCTAGCACATATAAAACACCCTGAATTCTGAAGTTATATCAGTGTTTTTGAGATTTTATTGGCTTTATTAATCCTTTAATTTATATAAAAACATAATTAGGTAAATAGACAATAATTTTTGTATCTTCCTCAAATATTGCCAGTGTCCCCAAATCCTTAATGAATATCCTACCCACTAGCAGCAAGTTCTTATGTGACATATATATATGTATGTGTGTGTGCTAATGTCTTGCTGGCCCTGAAGAGATTTGGGAGTGCCTGTGATAAGACTTTCTTCCACCTGCTCTGGGCTCTGGCTGTGCAGCACTCACAGCCCAACCCAAGTCCTAGGGCATCATTCACGGAATGACTATAGTCTGGCTATAATAAACATATTATAGGGCTGGAGAGCTGGCTGTTCTTCCAGAAGTCTTGAGTTCAATTCCCAGCAACTACATGGTGGCTCACAACCATCTGACATGAGATCTGGTGCCCTCTTCTGGCCTGCAGGCATATGTGCATGTAGAACACTGTATACACAATAAATAAAACTTAAAACACATATACACACAGCATATAACATACTTGCTATATACACGCACATAACATATTTACTAGATATACACACAATAATATACATAGGTATGTATATATATTTATTAATATCTCAGTGACCTATCCAATAGGAATCTTCATCCATCTTCGACAGAATGGCCCAGCACACACAGGCTGCAAAGAACAGGGTCCTGCTGGACTGCAAGGCCCATTCCCAGCCAATTCGCCTTCTTCTTTCAGCTTTCCTCATGTTTAGGTTTTATTTTTAGAGACAGGGTCTAAGCATGTAAACCAAGCTGGCTTCAAACCCATGCAGATCCTCCTGCCTCTGCCTTCTGAATGCTGGGGTTTAAGGCGTGTGCTCACATATTCTGCTAGGTATTTTAATATTTATCTAAAACTCAGAAGGGTAAATATTCCTCTCCGTGTCTAAGCAGATCTCAAAGTCTCTGGCACTGGAGATCTGTAGGTAGTACAGCATGGAAAATCTCATCTTGTGATATGATATCTGGGGTCATGTGCTGGGTTCTGCATTGCATTTTTTCAGTGCTGAGACTGAACCGAGGACCTCGTGTATCCTCCCACTGAGTGATGCCCTAGGACTTGGGCTGTGAGTGCTGCACAGCCAGAGCCCAGAGCAGGTGGAAGAAAGTCTTATCACAGGCACTCCCAAATCTCTTCAGGGCCAGCAAGACAGCTCAGAGTGAAGGCACGCACTGGCCACCAACTCCAGAAAGTTGTCCTCTGACCCCCGTGTGTCTGTGTGGTGTACACACAGACACACACACACACATACACACAGACACAGCCAACAAACAAATGTAACAAAATAGATTAAAAATCTGTTTAGGGAAACTTTTTTCTTTTCATACAGGAAGTTTACACAATTCATCTAAATAGAGAAAACTTTTAGGGCTGGGTAACAGTGGCCGCTGTGCAAGCATGAAGATCTGAGTGTAAATCCCCGTACACACATATACATCCATGTGACTGCCTGGTCCTGTGATCGCCGCACTCGGGGGAGAGAAAGTCAGGAGGGTTGCTCGGGCCCCAACCGGAACACCACATTCTGGTTTCAGCAAGACCCTGTCTCAAAGGAACAAGGCAGACAGCAATATAGCAGGGCATCTCCTCGGGCCTTTGTGTATGTGAGCGTGGGGATGCCCACAAGCGTGTACACACATGTGTGCACCCACATACAGAAATCTTTCCTTTAGACCCAAGCCAAACAAAGACCTCAGGGGAGTCTAGATGACTTGGGTGTGTAGTCTGAGAGCACGTGCAATCTCTTTCCTGCTCCTACCCCAGAACCCACAGGAAAACTGAGGAAACACATTGGCTCCCTGCCCGACTCAGGCTGGAATGAGTGTTTTGACTGAGGAACGCCAAGAACTTCCCTTTCCTTGGAGTATCAAGTAAATTAATAGATCTAGCAGGGAAAATAAGAGGAACACAGGTAAGAATTCTGTGCTACTCCCCTGTTTTTTCAGATGGGTTCACAATGCATCACAGCTGACCCTCAAATCAGAATGCAGACCGGCTGGCCCCACTTACAGACACGGTCCTTCCTTTAGCTTCCAAGCTGCTGGGATTACAGGAAGTATACCATTCATTATGTTTGGTTTGGATTTAGCCTAAATTAACTTTTTGATAACTTTTATTTCAAGGTGAAAGAAAAGAAACTGGGAACACTTTTAATTTTAAAATTTAGTGGCATGGTGAAGAATTTTATCAAGTAATTTTAGCTTTAGAGACAGGAATTAGGGACTGGAGAGATGGCTTAGCTGTTATGAGCACTGGCTGCTCTTCCAAAGGTCATGAGTTCAATTCCCAGCAACCACATGGCAGGTCATAACCATCAATCAGTAATGGTATCTGATACCCTCTTCTGGAACACAGGTACACATTCAGACATACACAAAATATACCCATAAATAAAAATTTTTAAAAAAAGGAAACAGGAATTATCGCTCAGTAGTAGAGCAATGGGGCTAAGGAACCAAGCTCCAGTACCATGGGCATAGGGGTAGGGGAGAGGGTCTTTAAACTGCACTACAGACCTTATCTGGTGTCATTAGCATAGTTGGTTCTGTTTTTATTCCAGACTGGTGAATATTCACGAACATTCCTGAATCCAACAGTCCTGTTGACCTGTAACGAACGAAGCCAAAATTTTAGTCTCACCTGATCCGGGACGAGAAGCAAATGGCCGACTTCTTACCGTCGGCTGTATAGTACCTGGTGGTCTCGCCATCTGTCACAAAGGTTGGAGTGGCAGCCAGCGGGCTTCGCAGGTCTTTGCGGATGTAGATTTTTTCTGTGGAAGCGGCACAGTTAGAAGATTTTTCTCGGGATACTTCAATGGGTTTTCTTTCACACTGAACAGCTGTTAAAAAAGCATGTTAACTAATTATACTACAATACAGGCTTTATGAGCATTTGTAAATCTAAGTTTCTTGTCATCAGAATGGCTAACGAGAGGGAGACATTCCTTCCAACTGAATTCCAAAGGCAACCGTCAATCTTTACAGCATCTGTTCATACTCAGTGATGTTTCTCCCTATTTATAGAACTGGTCAATTTACATCTTATTCTCATCTCGATTTATTTTGCCACTTTTGTAGTAGAAAAACAGATTTCTTAGCAAACCTCACAATCAAGAAGGGAGAACTTAAGGGAGGAGAAGTCTCTTATGCATACAGAGTTAAAGAAGAAGAAACACGATCAATTGGAGATAACACTAATAAAGAAAAAAGGCCTCAGGAGAGCCTTTGTAGTAAGAAGTACGTGTGCATTACACACTGCATTACACAGAAGCTCAGCTACACACTGCAGCATCTGTAGGAATTCTGTAGTTCCTAAAGAGGGGACAAGACATTTCTGTTAAATGAACATTTGCTTTCTGGCCAGAGGGAAAAACAAATGGTCAGAATCAAAGCTCCGCCACCTGTGAGCTGTCTGTCCTTCAGTGAGTTTTCAGCCTTTCTCTGTGAAGGTGTTAGGTGTTAGCAGTATAAACACAGAGAACTGCTCCAAGAATATGACAACTCATGTGTAAGGAGCGGCTTTTGGCACACGGACAGTTCAATCAGGACTGCCTGCTGTTACCGAGATCACGTTTTTTTTTTTTTTTTTTTTTTTTTTGGCATCAGTCACAAAGCACAAGGGTGTCCAGCTGCTAACAATAGTTTTTAATTTTAGACTGTAACATTGGCAATGCTATAGAGAACTTAGGAAAGACAACAAAATTACTAAAAATTCTTTTATGCACATTAAAAATTTTAAACTCTGAGAAACTTATTTTAAACTTACAGAAATCATTTGGGCGCTATGCGCCAACTGGAAATTGTGCTGGTCACAGGAGTATTAAAAGAATTTGTTTATTAAATAATAAATAACTATGTATACATTCTACTTTTAGTTGGACAACTATGAATTAAAAAGTATGTGTCATGGCTTGAACAAGAGCTTTGCTGGAGGAAATACGTTGCTGTGAATGGAATTTGACGGTTTAGTCTCACTCCGATTTTTGTAAGGAATAAATGTGAGCAGCCTGCTTTTTGGCACATGCCTTCCAGCCTTCTGGAGCCATAAACCCAGAAAAACTTTTTCTTCTTTTAGTTGTTTTTGTCATGAACTTAATCACAGCAACAGAAAAGCAACTGATAAAGCATGCATATACTTGAGCCACTTAGATGCGCTAACATGTATACACTTTGGGTTTGCTGGACCCTTACACACATTCCGCCTTTAAGGCAAGTACGTACAGTCCTGTTTCATCCCGAATGCGATGCACCGCTGCAGCCGGCAGTACTGACAACGGTTTCGGTGGTGCTTGTTAATTATGCAGTCTTTTGATCCTCGACAGGAATACACTAGATTTTTGCGGATGCTTCTTTTAAAAAATCCTTTGCAGCCTTCACAAGTTATTGCTCCATAGTGACGTCCTAGAGATGAAATGTTCAAGGAAGTACAAAACATACTATAGATTAGAGGTGAGACAGACCCTGCTTTTTCTATTAGAATAATTCATAAAATGAAATTGTGATTTTTGAGATTCTGACAAAATTTTTTTGTAGGATTTATTTAAGTAGAGAAGCAAGTAGCCATATCCTGTGGCAAGTTTGATGACACATAGTTTTGGATTTTATAATGTAGCATTAACATATTAGAACTTAGGGGCAAAATCATCAAAAATTCTACTATGCACATTAGAAATTTTAACCCTAAGAAAGCTTACAAATTATAGTTTTGTCATATACCATGTGTCCTTCCCCACCTCCTGCTGGGGAGTGAATACAGCACATGTGAATACAGCACTTATATATGTTAGGCAAGCATTCTACCAACATCTGCGCCCTCGGCTATCTTACATACTTTAATATCACAGCTCCAGAAAACTGGAACGTGCTAGCTGGTGCTGGAACTATAATGAGTTCTTTGTGAGTTCCACTTTGAAAGTGTCTTGTCCAGCAGGAAGAGCACTTGCTACCTACCCTTCCAGAGGGCCCACGGCCAGTTCCCAGCAGTTCCAGCCCTCACCATCTATCTGGAACTCTAGTTTAAGGGTTTGACACCCTCTTCCAGCATCCAGAGGTATCAGGTGCACACAGCACACACATGTGCAACCAGGCAAATTGCTCATATACATATTACATTTTGATGAATTTGTTATTTCACCAATTATTTGTTTTGTATAACATTAACAAATTACACGTACTTGAGGGAAAATTCTAATGGAAGTTTTTTTTTTTTTTGCAATGAAATTTCAAAAAAAAAAAAAAAAAAAAAATCAACAAAAACAAGCTGGGCCCTTTAGCTCTGACCCACTGACACCTGTGTATATGCATGAACAGACACAAGTGTGTCCTCACAGGAAGCAAGCAGTGGTCACAATGAAAAGATTTATCAAGAACACTCAGACCTGACTGAAAACTGCCCACCCAGGTCTTAGGGCCAGAGTTCCCCAGCAGACCCCATCTGATCACTGATGCTAACCACTGTCAGGCCTGGTTCATTCCTGGAAGGGAAAAATAACTAAACCAAAGGTTGACCAATGAATCTCCTACTTCAGCAATTCAATTTACTCTGAATCCCTAAAACAGGATTTGGGGAAGTATATTCAAGTAAATTACCCACAAAATGTATTATTAAAGACCACAATTCATTTTCTGCTGATTCCTTTGGCAAATTTAATTTTTACATTTAAAACTTTTTTTGTGTATGTTTACTTCCAAAACAAATATTCTATGCCATTACAAATCAAATGAAATGACAATGAAAAAAAGCAGAGAGAGAGAGAGAGAGAGAGAGAGAAAGGTAAAGTCCCATAGGCCACAACGATAAAACACAAAACACAGTCTTGTATTTATTTTTTAATTGTAGAGGGAACATAGTCGAGGAGCAATTACTTTAACAGTATAACATATACAGAATTATTTTTAACCATACCTGACGCTTTGTCTCCACACACTACACAAAGATCAAAAACCTTATTTGGTCCCTGGTCAGGAGAGTTTTCTGTAAAGAGCTTTTAAAAGAAGAAAACGGTCATTGAGCAGCAGCAGCTTCATGCTGTCCAACAGTAGAACACAAAATCAGAGTCCCTCCTCATGTAGACAGAAGTTACTCTTCAGCTAAGAACTACGGCTATGGACAGGGCACTTAAGCGAGTCTTCTGTCACACACAAGGCAAAAACTATAAGTATCTTTCCTTGTTCCACAGTTCCCACAAGTCCATCCAGAAACCCAAACGAGCAGGCCCTGATGTCAGGCGCCTTTGAGCCTAGTACTGTGAGGAGGGGTGGGGAGGGAAGGCAGATCTTTGTGAATTCCAGTCCAGTCCGGTCTAGCCAGGGCTACATAGTGAAACTCTCTCAGCACTGGGTGGGTGCTCTCGCAGGGGACATGGGTTTGTTCCCAGCACCCACGTCAGGTAGTTCACAACCAATTTGTACGTCTAGTTCCGGGAAGTGAGGCCTTCCTCTGACCTCCACTGGCACCTGCTGACACGTTGCACACACACATATTCAGGTACACACATACATTTAAAGTAAATGAATTCTTTAAAAATAAAGTTCAACACAAAAACACATGAGTATTTTTAAACGTAAGCCATACACATTAATATTATTCATGTGTAAAAGTATTCACATAGAAATATGTCTAATTTCTTTCATGGCATTGTCTTTGACAGCTCAGAACCTTTCCAAAGGAAATGGCGGCAGAGCATGGAATGAAACCACATGACGGTACACCCCGGTCACCCCAGGCTAGGGGACACAATGAGACCCTGTGTTAAACAAATAAGCACTGCTGCCTCCAAACTTCAAAGTGGCAGCATAAAAATGTTATCAATTATTAGTAATAATTATGCCACATAACTGGCCATTGCTGAGGCGAGGTGAGGAGGCCTTAGGTAAGCGACTGAGTCTATATATTGTATAAAGAGCTCATCATTAGGCATAGCTATTAGATGCTGGCAAGGAGGTGTAGCTTCTCCTTTCAGATTTACTTGTCTATTAATCTCTTCCTAGTTGTTTCCCTGTGTAAGACAACAGACGTTGTTTACTGTCATTTACCTGGAGATGTGGTGAGGACAGGTCAGGAGTTGCAAAGAACAGCTGGTTGACACCTGCAGCATCTGGGGTGGTGAGGAACACTTTTCCTGGGGTGGAGCCCTCAGAGTTTGCCAGAATGAACTGTTTGCCCTGTGTGCTATGGTCGAGTGCGGTCAGAATCTGGATTTTCTGTTCCGTCTGCTGTTCTGTAACAATCTGACACAACCATGGCACATTAATAATCAACCATGTTTTTTTTTTTGCTTTTGAGACAGGTCTGGCTATGTGGTCAGACTGGCCTTGAACTCACAACCCATTGCCTCAGTCTCCCAAGTACTAGGGATCTGCTACCATACCTGGCTTTTGTCTTCCTTTAAGAAATCAATTTTACTCTCAAGACAAAGCTAGAAAAGCGAGTTACATACTTTTTAAATGGCAACATTCCTAATGAAATTCTGATAGAATCATGTGTGAAATGTATTAAAAGTACAGCTGGGTGGTGGCAGTACATGCCTTTAATCCCCACACTTGGGAGGCAGAGGCAGGTAGATCTCTGTGTTTCAGGCCAGCCTGGTCTACATACATCGTGAGTTCCGGGGACAGCTAAAGCAATACTGAGAAACCCTGTCTCAAAAAAAAAAAAAAAAAAAAAAAAAAAAAAAAAAAGTAAGGAAGTAAATAAATCAATAATGTGCAGTAGCAAGCTTATCTGATTTTGATTACCACTATTTTGATTTCTTTCTTCTACTACTATTCACTCAGCAGTTGTCACCCTGTGGGTCACCACAGCTTTGGCAAGCCTCTGTCTACAAAAATATTTATATTATGATTCTTAATAGTAGCAATATTTCAGCTATGAAGTAGCAATGAAACAATAAAAATAATTGTATGGCTGTCTAATGTTCACGTAGGTTTTAGAAAATCGAATTAGGAAAAATGTAAAAAAAAAAAAGAGAGAGAATTAGGGATATGCATGATCTGTCAGTGGGTTGAAACATTAAATCGGTAAAAGGGTATTTACTACAGTGTAACAGAATAACTAAAAGGAAAGGTAATAAACTTGGCCTTCTATGGAGAACAGCAACAGGTCTCAGGACCCCTCTACACGCTATGAATCTGGAGTCAGCTCTCGTGTCAAACTAGACATACATGTCAAGTTCAACGAGATGGAAAAGACCCCCATCAGCTGTAGAAGTGGCCCATGCCAGGAGGGACATGCCAAAAATGCCATTCTCACATGGGACTTCGGCAAGTTTCTCATGGGCTGGAATGCCTGCCGGGTAAAGCTGAATGATCTTATGGAAGAGGCTCTGGTGGCAGAAGGACATGGCTTGCCATATCTAGACTCACAGACACATGCTTGGGCTCCCCACAACCCCTGCCCGAGGCCAGGCCTGGAAGCCTTTCATTTGTATTCATGACAGCCTGTCTGTAAAGCAGACGACTGCTGGGAGAGATCAGAGGGTCTGGTGAACACCTGCAGAAGGAAGCTCCTGAGGCCTCGGGCCATATTCTGGAATAAAATGAAGAAATGGGAAGTGGGGGGGGGGGGAGGCATGATAAAATTTCCAAGATAATTAAAAATCCTTTATTCAGCTGGGCGTTGATGGCTCATGTCTTCAAGCCCATTACTTGGGAGGCAGAGGTAGGCCGATCTCTGTGAGTTCAAGGCCAGCCTGGTCGAGTTCCATGACAGCTAGAGCTACAGAGACCCTATCTCGAAAAACCAAACAGAAAAGAAAGAGAGGGGAAATGGGGAGGAAGAAGGGAGAGAAGGAGGGAGGGAGGGAGGGAGGGAGGAAAAAGACAGGAAGACCGGAAGACAGAAAGGAAGGAGGGAATCACACAGACAGTGTAGAAAGTAATAGAATATTTTAAGAGGATGTTGAATTGTGGAAACTGTTCATTGATACCACACCAGACCATGACAAGTAGCTTTGCAAAAGCCAGCTGCAGTGTGGGGTCAGGAGTAATACTACGTACAAACGGAGAACCTAGAGCAGGGAGGGAGAGCTTTAAAGAGATGAGTATTTTGTCTTATGTCTTATGAAGTCATAAACGTTCTCATTTTTTTCTTAAAATGAATCATCTTGTCCACCAATACTTATACCTACTCTGGCCTTGAACGTGTGATCTTCCTGCCTCTCCCTCCCGAGTTCTGGGATTATAGGCACATTGCCAATAGCCTGACAAGTCATTATTTTTATAGGAACTAATAACCCAAGGAAGATTTAATTTTTATTTCAACACCACATTACTATTATAAGATTCACTTATATGCCAGGTGGTGGTGGCAAACACCTTTAATCCCAGAACTCGTGATCTCTATGAGTTCAAGGCTAGCCTGGTCTACAGAGTGAGTTCCACGACAGACTCCAAAATTCAGAGAAACCCTGTCTCCAAAAACAGAACAAACAAACAAAACAAAAAATAAGTTAGTTGAGTCTTGTCAACCATATTGTAGTATGGTTATTATACAACTTGATTGAACTGTGGGGATATTTGTTTGTGTTTTTAACACCAACTGTCCCATGCTAGTTATTATCAACCTATTAATAGTGTGTCGGCATGAGTGTGAGTGTGTGTGAGTGCGAGTGTGTGTGTGTGTAGGTCAGAGGACAACCCTGTGGAGCTGTTTCCTTTCCTTCCACCTTTCTATGGGCCCAGGGTTTGAACTCATGTTTCCAGGTTTGCTCAGAAACTACCCCTACATGCTAAGCCATCTCAAAGGTCTGGTTATCATTATCAGATCTTAACCAATCACCCTGCATTATACTGAAGATTTGTATGGAGCCTGATTATGTTTGTTTGTTTTTTGAGTTTTTCTAGACAGGGTTTCTCTTTGTTGGTTTGTACACCAGGCTGGCCTCGAACACACAGAGATCCACCTGCCTCTGCCTCCCAAGTGCTGGGATTAAAGGCATGCATGTACCACCACCGCCGCCCAGTGGTCTGATTATTTTTATTATTTTAAGTTTTTTACATTTATTTGCATGAGTTCATGTGTGTGTGTGTGTGTGTATGTGTGTGTGTGTGTGTACACACATGCACTCTATAGCATGCATCTGGAGTGAGAGAGTTGTTATCTTATTATTATTATTTTTTTTTTCTTGTCACACAGGTTCTGGGGATCGAGCTCTGTCATTAGGCCTAATGGCAAGTGCCTCCGTCTGGATGAGCCATCTCCCTGGTCCCTGAGACTGGTTTTCATTGGGTGCTATTTTAAAGCAGGTCACTAAGAAGAGGTAGTGTTGTGCTTGCTTCTAAGGCCTGACATGCCCCAACATTTTTAATCACTTCAAAAATAACCATGTCAGACATGGTCAAAATAGTTCAGACTGAAGAGTCAAAATTAACAGTATCTATGAGAGTAATATATCACAAAACATATGCCACATCAAAGCTTTTTGCAAAAAATAAATAAAAATAGAACATAGTCATTTAAGATTTCCTAATCCCCAAACATTCTTTGATTAGATCCCCTCCCACTCCAGCTCTTAATTAGCTTTTTATTTGTTTTTTGTTATAAACATTTTGTATAAGTGTGTTCCACAACACTGTATATACAATCCAAGGACTTACTATTTCTCACCTCATAGAAAAGCTATCTGAAAGCTGCATTCACCTGGAACTTTCAAAACCTAATACAGACATTTAGCATAAAGAAGGAAAGTTTGGTAGTTCAGCAAATGAACTGTAAACTAGACATACCTCACCCATCTGTTGTTCAATAATTTGATGTGCAATTTCTTCTATGGTCGCCATGATCTAATTGTTAAAATATCTGTCAAAGATGAAAAAGGAAAAAAAAACACACACACAAAACATTTTTACAATCATACACATAAATATTTACAGAAAAAATTATAGCGAAATTATATGTTGCCTAAGATTTTTAAAAAAATAATCCAGTTAAGATTGTGGGGTAGTGCTGGGCGTTGGTGGCGCACGCCTTTAATCCCAGCACTCAGGAGGCAGAGGCAGGCAGATCTCTGTGAGTTTGAGGTCAGCCTGGTCTACAGAGCGAATTCCAGGACAGGCTCCAAAGCTACAGAAAAACCCTGTCTCAAAAAAGATTGTGTGGTCATGTAGCACAAATTATATAAATCCAGAGACAGGTATTGGGGTTTAAATTGAAGATGAAAAGCAAAGTAGCTCTTACCTCTACCAAGCTGAAATGGCAATCCTGTCCCCACAAATCCTCAGAGACAAATGCTATCCACAAATCTTTAGAGGCAAACGCTCTCTCTCCATGCAATCCCAGAGGCAAATGCTCTCCTGTCTGGAAACTAAATCTCACATGGGACTCTTTGCTTCTTCCTTTTATGCAATCCTAGTGCTGGGATTAAAGGCGTGAGCTCTGTTATTCTTTTAGACTGATTCATTCCCATGTAGCCCTGGGTGGCCTTGAACTCACAGAGATACATCAGCCTGTCTCCTGAGATTAAAAAGGTGTGTGCCACCGCTGCCTGGTCTGTATGGCTAGCTAGTATGGCTGCTGGGAGAGAAGGTGTGTCATCGTTGCCTGACCTCTACAGCTGTGGCTGGCTTTGCATTTTGATCCCCAGTGGCTTTATTAGATCATGAACAATGTATCACCACCAGGCCAGACAGGGACTAGATGCTATGACCCTTTGATACAGCTTCTCATGTTGTGGTGACCCCTAACCATAAAATTATATTGTTGCCACTTCATAACTGTAATTTTGTTGCTGTTACGAGTCATAATGTAATTGTTACGAGTTGTAATGTAAGTATTTGATATTTAGGGTACCTGATATGTGACCCCTTCAAAGGGCTGTGACCCACAGGGTGAGAACCTTTGGGTTGGACAAAACATAGTCTGTGTACTAGCAATGTTGGACACATTGTCAGCTGATGAAGGTGCATGCTGAGGGTTCGAGTAACTATTCTGCTTTTGTATACTCTGACATAAGTTTTGAAAAGCCATTCTATCGGTGTGCGTACATAAAGCGTCCCCTACAAGTCACATATGGGAATCCCGCTGCCTGGAGTAGGCTGCCTCCTGGGAGCTGCTATTACTCATCAGGGAGGTCTCTGAAGCCCAGAGACAATACAGGCGATTGCCACTGCTGTTGGTTGTCCATGAGAACTGGATGGTGAGACCCTACTGCAGAAGACACCAGACTCCGAATCAGGACATAAGAGAAATCAGGCTAGAACTGGGCTGGAAGCTTCTTCCCTGCTTGGAGGTGCTAGAAAGTGTTGTGCAGGCTGCTGGGAGAGTGTTGCCTTACTCAGGTGTAGGCAATTAAAATCTCTCTTCCCCCACTGGGACATACAACAATGTCAAGTCTGTTAATGGTGGTAACCAGCTGCTCTCTGCTATGACTTGAGGTCTTTTTTTAATCACAGGAGGGAATCCATGTTTAGTACTGTAAACACAGTACGAAGCCCAGGGCTGGAAAGCCCAGACTATAACAAATAACATAGATGCCACCAGGACACTGCCAGTGTTCTAGGCCCCTCAACAAAGCTGTTTACTTTCCTTTGTGCCACTGAGAAGGCTTTCTTTTGGAAGGAGGGGTGGATTTGGGACAGGGTTTCTCTGTGTGACAGCCCTAGCTGTCCTGTAACTAGGACTGTAGGATAGGTTGGCTTTAAACTCACAGAGATCCACCAGCCTCTCTCTGCCGAGATTAAAGGTGTGTACCACCACAGCCCTTCAAAATCTTTCTACGCCATAATTCCTTTCTTCATGTAAACATGACTACATTGGAGAGAATTCCATAGTAGAATGCCAGAAGAGGCTGAGCTCAATTCCCAGAAACACAAAACAAGAACTCCCCCCTTTGAAGTTCAACTTCGAATGATTGTTATTGTCTTTTGGTAAGTTCTGTTTCAATGCTACCACCTACTGAAGTTTACATGAAGCGATGTCCCTGTCTTGTCCTTGAGTACAGTCAAATTATAACCATCTTCTCTTCAAGTGTCTTGACCTCCAATAAGACTCATTTAAATGCAACTTCAAAAACAATCTTTTAAAGCTTCATTTGTGCGTGACTGTGTGTGGGGGCCAGAAAGAGGACACGTGTGTCCTCCACCGCCACTCTGTCTATTCCTTTGAAGAGGGGTCCCTCCTTGAAGCTGGGCTCACATTTTCTTGGCTAAGCTAACGGGCAGCAAGCCCCTGTCTCTGCCTGCAAGCCACCTCTCCAGGCCCCACTTTACTGTTTTGCAAAAGATCAAACAAACAGATTTACTATTACCTATCTTCTCAATAGTCATCACAGTCTGGCTTTTACCTATGAGATTTGGGCTGCCGTTTGTTAAACTTTACATTATAGCTGTTCAGACCCTAATTCTTGCAGTTTTACCATGGTTCCCCATCCCTGACAATGGCCTTTCCCTTCACTCTGAATGTCACACAATCACTGATCAATATATGTGCTCAAGACTGCAGAGAGAATGAGACAAAACAGGCATTTTTCTTCTTTACATTTTTTGTTTTTTATTATGTGCATGTACTAGGCATGTGCATGGGAATGAAGATGCCAGCAGAGGCCAGAAAGTGTCACATACATTGAAGATGGAGTTACAGGCAGCATTGATCTGCCTGCTAGGAACTGAACTTGGGTCCCCTGGGGAAGCGGCCAGAGCTCTTAACTGCAGAGGCTTCTCTCCAGACTTATTTTTAAAGGTAGGGTCCCAGGCAGCCCTGGCTGGCTTTAAACTTGCTATGTAGCTGAGGATGACTGTGAACTCCTGAGTCTCCTGCTTCTATCTAAGTACTGGGATTACAGGCAAGTGCTAACATATTCTACAGACTGCTGATGGCTTAAACTGTTCTACCTTCCCAGAGAAGTAATGAGCCACCGTACAGCAAAAAAACATTGAACTGTTTACTTTCCACACTTGAGGCGAGTCAGAGTTTCAAGTTCATGGTCACCCTGTTACAGAGAGCTAGAATTCAGAGTTCTAATCCCCACTGTAATAACTACTGAATGCACAGTTTATTGTACAATATCCTTATTGTTAATTTGAGGTGGCTTCTTCGGAAATAAGAGCATCAACACCATCTCTCTTGAGAAGTTAAAGAGTAGACGTAAGTGAAAATACACCCGTGGCTGATGGTCTTTAGCAGGCAGTAAGTTTTCCATTTAAGTTGGCAGGATGGACAAATGCCATGTGAGGGAGAGGACACGGAAGGACAGAGCTAAAGGAAGACTTAGCAAGACCTCACAGAAGAGACAACCACATTAGTCATTGAAGGATTATATATTTCCATTAGCCTGAGGGAGAAAACGAGAAGCTGGAGGGTCAGAGCTGGAGAGAAGACTCAGTGATTAAGAGTTACAGCTGCTCTTCCGGAGGCCCTGGGTTTGAGTCTCAGTAGCACCCGCCTGGTGCCTCACAACTGTCTGTAACCCCAGTGGCAGAGGATCTGACACCCTCTTCTGTCTCTGTAGTCCCGGCGCATGAGCATGGAACACAGACATACATGCAGGCACAATACCCATACAGATTAGATTAAATTACATTTCAAAAGTGTAAGGGTGCTCCCTTCATTCCTAGCCTCGATTTCTCGTACAATCCCCGGGCCTCTCTCTTCATCCTTCCCTTAGAAATGGTTGAATTAATAAAAACCCCTCAAGTTTCTTAAACTATGGGTCTCTATCCCATACAAGATCATGCAAGGCTCACCACAGGAGCCACCACAGAGCTGCTAACTGTAAAAGGTTTCTAAGAGTGTAATGACCAAAAATTAACCCTGAATGAAATACACAGTAAACCCAAGGCAGTGCTGGCAGCACAGGGCTACCTGAGTTGTACGGAGCCTCTCGCTGAGGCCTTTGTTTTAAACAAGCATGTGTGCATTTTGTGCTGAGCATGTTTTCTTGACCTGTGACACCATGAACTCTGCCCAAAACACCTCAGCTCAGACTTCTGGGTGTTCTGAAGTTTCTTTCCCTGAGACAAACTCTCCTGTTCCTACAGAAACATAGCCGCTTAATTACATAAAACAATTATGTAATCACTGGTGATTATTATAAAAAAAAATTCCTGCCATCTTTCTTCAGCATCTAATTGTCAAATTAGTTCTGGGGTAGTTTGAAGAATGGCCCCATAGGCTCTTATGTTTGAATACTTTGTTTCTGGTTGGTAGAATTCTTTAGGAAAGATCAGCAGATACGGCCTTGCAGGAGGAGGTGTGTCCCTGAGATGGGTTTTGAGGTTTCAAAAGCCCACGCAATCTCCAGTTAGCCCTCATGCATGCTGGCGCTCTCTGCCTTCTGGTCGCTGTCTGTTTCAGCATGTAAACTGTTACTACCCCAGCCCCATGCCATCAGGAAGGTCATGGATTTTAGCCTTCTGGCATCATGAACCCCCAAATTAAATGCGGTTTTTGTTTCCAAGACAGAGTTTCTCTGTGTAGTCCAGGCTGGCCTCGAACTCCGAGATCCGCCTATCTCTGCCTCCTGAGTGCTAGGATTAAAGGTGTGCTAAATAACTTCTTTTATAAATTGCCTTGATCATGGAGGTTTGTCACAGCAATAGAAAAAGAAGACAAATACATTTTTGGATTGTATGAATTATAGCATGATGTTTAAAGCCCGCTATTGTGGGTTCTGGAGAAGATGGTTCAGCAGTTACCTCCACATACTGTTCTTGCAGCAGACCAGGATCCCAGCACCCTGTCAGGGAACTCACAACTACCTGTAACTCTGGCTCCAGAGATCTGACACCTTCTTTCTGGTCTCCATGGACACTTGCACTATGTTCATTCCCCTCAAAAACAATTATATATGTACACACACACATTGGTTTATTGGTATTTCAAGACAGAATGTCTCTGTGTATGGCCCTGGCTGTTCCTGGAGCTCAATTTGTAGATCAGGCTGGTCTCAAACGCAGAGGTCCCTTGCCTGTGCTTCCACATGCTGGAATTGAAGACATGTACTACCATGCTTGGCTAATACAATTTCTGATCATGTTTTTCCCCTCTCCCAATTTTTCCCTACCTCCCTATGTTTTTATCTTTAAATTTTAAAAAATTATTTGTATTATTTTGGTTTTGTTTTTTGGGTTTTTTTTGTTTGTTTGTTTGTTCGTTTTTTGAGACAAGGTTTCTCTTCATAATCCTGGCTATCCTGGAACTCACTCTGTAGAACAGGCTGGTCTCAAACTAAGAGATCCACCTGCCTCTGCCTCCCAAGTGCTGGGTTTAAAGGTGAGTGCCACCACCACCAAGCTATAAACAGCATTTAAAAAATTTAATCACAAGTATAAATCGATAAACTATAGCTAGCATTTATTTTTAAATTATAAGCATATTTATTTGTATTTTAGGACACAATTGTTTTTCAGTTACAGATAACTGTCTAATTCTTCCCAGCCAGGTTGTAAAATACCCAAATTGACATGGGGGGAAAAGTCAAATCATCTTTGCAATATGGATTTATTTTTAATAATCATGATGATGTGAAAAATAAACTGCCAGATTGATTTTCAGTGAGGATGTGGCTGCAGAGAACAAGAAAGTATAAAAGTATGCAACACTGCAATAAACCAAAAGAATAATTTAAACGTTTAAAATTCTTCAGATGAAGGGAGTCAAAAGCTCTGAGTTGTTGCTGTCAGTGAAAAAGCATTTATTTGTATCCTACAGAGACTCTTGTAAAAACGGTGTGTGTACGTGTGACCACTAAAATGTTATTAGCAGTGGCTCATGGGAAAAGAGTTGAGTCAGGGCCCTCTACAGGAACAGAGGTAGTAATGAAATGCACAATTTCTTTACTGAAAGGTGGTCTTTCCAACATAATTTTCAGATTTAACGTGACCAATGCCAGCAGTTTATTACCAGGTTTAAGGGAAGTCAAAGTTGGTATGTAATTCAGCTAGATGATATAGCCAGTATTTCTAACACGGGATAGTAGTTACTTTAAGATATATTTAGGAAGGAAGCATATTTGAAAAACTGTTTTGCTGCCCTGTGGAAGGGCACTGTGATCTTGACACCAGTGGATTTTTTTTTTTTTTTCCTCACATGAAAGTTCATGGCTAAAAGGTCTTAATACGTTTCTGCAGAGATGCTATTGGAGAAACTGTAGGGGAGCAAGTTGGCTCGTAGCAGACCTTAAGGTCTGCAGAAGCAAATGTGCCTTTACTAGATGAATGACCCACCAGGAGGCACCTGTAGCCAAAAGGCACGGAATCAGTGTGCTTGGCAGTACTGTTGGTTAAAGAGCTGTACTTTTGTCTTCCTTTCCAATACTGGCAAACGGGTCTACTTACAGAGCTCCGATGTGTGCCAAGATGATCTCAAAATGGTCAAGGTCAAAGGTCACTGAAATTGCACCATGAAGTTATTTATGTCTTTGATGGAGCATAAATCTGACTTGCTTCATTTTTTTAATAATGATTTGTAGCTCTCAAAACAGTTACTTGACAGATTTTTTTTTTTAAATCAATTATTTAAACATGTTGCTTCAAGGAAGTAACTGGAATATATTTATGCTAAAAGATAAAGTTCAAAGTTTTACTAGAAAAGCTAACATGAAAGAAACAGGATGAGAACTGGTTCTTTAGAGACATTTACAGTAGAGATGATTTTATAAATAAAAATAACCTCAAGCAGGAAAAATATTGCTCAAGGGTTAAGAGCGCCTGCCCTTCAAAAGACCTAAGTTCAATTCCTCCACCCTCCCAGTTCCAGAAGATCTGACAACTCTTCTGGCCCCTGAGGGCACTGCACACCCTTATACAGACATCCAGGCAAAACACCCATACACATAAATTAATTCTTTTCTGAAAATCTGATGGAGCTTCCCCTCCCCAGAAAAATCACAAGTTCATACTGCTTCATACTCTAATGTTAAACGTCAAGAGGGTTACAAAGCACCAAGTCAATCCAAGAAATTTCCTACTCAGGGTTCCCTGAGATAAAGTTTTAGCAGGTTATCACGTTGAACAGAAACCATGGAAAGCAACATCCTCAATACCCCATTTCAATTTCCTATTTCACCTCTGAGACCCAGTTCAAATTCCATTGTACATACTATTTCTGAACGATCCAGTGTATATCGGGTACAGGAAGAGTTGAGTGAGATTCAAGAACAGATTTCTGTTAATTCCTCAAAGTTTTGAACAGAGACATATTTTTCTAGAAATGGTTTCAAAAGTGTGTATGTGTGTGTGAGAGCACAGAGGATCTTGTAGTGCTACTTGCTGTATGATGCTTGCCTTGGCTATCACTGGTATAGGAATTACACACTTCATCACACCACAGTAGATATTTAGGGTTTGTTGCCATGGATTTGTCCCCTTCAAAACCTTTCAACTGTCACACAGAATTACGAAACCAGTTACATTTATTGGTACCATGTGTGTTTTTGTTTTGGTAACTGACATACTTATCTTCATTAATGACAATGACAACAACTTTAAAACAGCTTTTGAAACAAGAGTTAGGAGTTTGAAACCAGACCCGGGAAGCAGTACAGAATGAGCTGGACAAATGAACTTTGGTTATCACCACCCTTCGACCACAGGCCTCTGGAATGACCTCAACTGGAGAAATTACATTGTATCCAAAGGTTCAAGACGCACAGCCAAAGGTTACTGGACAGATTGATACAAAGGACATACTACCTTTCCTTTATCTTCTACAGGTCTTTTGAGGTTTGGATACATAGTTTCTAAACCAGTCTGGCATAATACTCCAGCTGATCTTTAGCCTGGATCCTAGCCTTCAGGGGATTGGGATTACAGGGGTGCTTCACCAGCCTGGCACCTATGGGTCATCCAGCATGTTTGTCCAGCGTGTTGTCATCAGTATTAAATGGTCCACAACAAATTCCCATGTTTCTCACGTACCTGGGATCTTCCCTCATTTACTTGAATTTTTGTCTCCCAAACTTACCACTCCTAAAACACCCTCCCCAAACGATTTTCATCTTTGCAGTTTGAATAGAACTGATCAATACCTCTTTCCAAATTTACCAAAGTGAACACAAAATTTTAAAAACAATTACCCAACCGGGTAAACAAGCAGATCCTGTGTAAAACACACCCCCACACACAAACAAACAAACAAAACCCCTCCTTCAAAGTCTGAGGCGTACTTATAACTTCCAGAGGGTGGGAACAGCCCTGAAAAGATTTCACTTCACGCCTTTTTTAATTTTTTTTTTTTTCTTTTTGTCCTTTCCAACCCTGGCTGACCTACTTACTGAAGGCTAAGGGACAACCTGGCAATACTCGGGATGCCATCTGCAGGAACTGGAGGCAGGCAGGGCTCTTAACAAAAGGGCTCCTGGGACCCGGAGCGCACGGGACCCGGCGGGCGGGCCACCTCTGCTCCCGGGGCAGCGCGGCGGCGGCTGCTCGTCCCCCCGGTGCGGGCGGAGGGCGCCGTGCAGCAGCCCCGGGCCCGCCGCTCCCTGCCCAGCACCCACCACGCGCGCAGCCCCGGGGCGGAGGAAGCGGCGCCGAGACGGAAGCGCTCCCCGCGGGTGAAAGGTCACCGTCCCCGGCCCGGGCTCCGCAGCTTCGGGCGCGGCCGCTGCCGCCCGGCACTCGGGGGACCGGGCGACCCCGACGCTCGGGCCCCCGGGCCGCGGCGCTCGGCGGTTGGGCCGTCCCGCAGCCGACTTACCCCTCCCGCCGCGGCGGCCGCTGGGCTGCAGAGAGCTGAGGCGCGGGGCCCCGAGCCCGGGGGGGGGGGCAGGGGCGCTTTCTGGGTCGGTGGATTTGGGGGTGGGGGTCAGAGTTCGTGACCCCTCCCTCGGCTCGGCGGTGCGCGGTGCGCTCGGCGCCTGCGCGTCAGCGCGGTGGAGAAGCGGCCAGCGGCGGTGACGTTCCCTGGGTGAAGCCGAGGGCCCCGGAGTCCAGCGGCGGTTCTGGAAGTCGATTGCCCCCTGCAGGTGTGGAGGGAGACCGCCGCCGCCGCCGCCGCCACGTGTCGGTCAGATGTCCTGCCAGGGGAGCATCAAGTTCTTAAGATCTGCAACTCTGGCGCCCGGGCCTCCGAGGCCACTTGCAAGCCGTGTGCACATACCCAAACATGCATGATTAGAAATCCACGACAACCGAGGGCTGGGGAACGACTCGATGGTTAAGAGTACTTGTTGCTACACCAGAGAACTTGCTTTGATTGCCAGCACCCACCGGACCTTCACAACTTTCTGTAACTCCGATTCCATTGGATTTGGTGCCCTCTTCTGGTGCACGAATATACGTGCAGGCCAAACACCCTACACTTCAAGTAAAAATCTTAAAGGAATACGAAAAAGTCTTTTGAGACAGGATCTGTTGGAAACCCAGACTGGTCTTTTAACTCGCGATCCTCCCGCGAGTCTTGGTCTCCAGTGCTGTAGGATTTCTCTTTTTTTATGTTTATTTATATGGGTGTTTTACTTGCACCGTATGCCTGTGCATCACAAGTGTGCCTGGTGCCGGAAAAGGCCATAAAATCTTCTGGATCTGAAGTTACAGATAGTTGTGAATGGCCATATGGGTGTTGGGAACTGAACCTGGGTCCGCTAAAAGACCAGCCAGTGTTGAGCCATCGCTCCAGTCCCTTAAAGGGAGTTTTGAGTAACAATAAACAACCTAATCGGTTTGAGATAGATGTCTTTAATCTCTGGAAGACTGGACTTGGTTTTATAGGCACTGTCTCAGATTACAGACAAAGAGTGTTGAGTCTGGGAAGAACCCAATCACATACAACTTCCCGCAATATGAGAACAAGCTGAGGCAAAATCACGTCAAATTGTACTTGTGTGTTTTTATAAAGAGCAAGAACACAATCGCTACTGTGTGTTGCGTTCTTAAAGGCTCTTTTATGTTCATTTTGCTAGATGATTCATCCTCAGATATTTACCAGTTCCTGATGGTCAATAAAGATTTGCAAAACGGAAGGTCACTGATGGCATACCACATCCGGCCAGGCGTCACCTGTGGCAGGAAGCTCTGCCCTGCATTCTAAGTTCTGTGTGGTTCAGACTGTAAGAGGAGGCACCTCTCTGTCTCTCCCTCTTTCTTTCTCCTTATTCCCTTAACTTCCACCAATAAACTTTCCACAGGGAAGGGGGAGGTGATCCGGGAATGTCCTTTGCATGTAGGTAAGAACTGTAGAAAAGCAGGCAGATTTAGAACAGAAACCAAGTGTGTGTGTGTGGGGGGGGGGGGACACCAAAACTTTGGTGTGCTGGGCAGAATAATTGTTGTCCCTATGTTCCCTTGTGCCTATAATCCCAGTGCTTGGGAGGCAGAGGCTGGAGGAAGAGGAACCCAAAGCCATACATGGCGATACAGTTTGAAGGTAGCCTGGGCTACGACTCTTTAAAAAAAAAAAAGGTGCTATTTTCCATTGGAATTAAGTATTTAGACCTGGGAAAGGAACATGCACTCTTCCCTAGCAAAATCAGAACTGTTTCACACTTAGCTTTCTGAAGGTCTACCTCTACCTTTTAGTGTTGTTTGGTTTGGCCAGAATGCTAAAGGAGCAACTCTTCCAATAACCTTAAGCTGGCCCCAAATGTGTACACTAGGAAAACACACTGGGTTCAAGGAAAAGGTTTAATACATGCGTCCAAAGGAATGCTTCTCCAGTTAATGGACTTAAGTCACAAGAAGTTGATGTATCAGAGCTCGGGCTGGGCACAGTGGCTCATGCTTAGAATTTGTAGGCTGAGGTGGGAAGATTGCTATGAATATAGCCAGCCTGGACCACAGGGTGAGCCCTGTCTCAAAACTAATTAAACAAATAAATCAGTCTTGGAAACATAAACCACTTTAGGAACATTACTGTAGGTGACATGTCTCCCTTGGTCATATGTTAGCAAAGGGGGACCAGTGAGGTTCATCTTAAAGGTATGGCTTAAATTAAGGCTTCACTAAAGCTGGCAGCACACATCCATATCCCAGTTACTAAGGAGGCTGACGTGGAAAGCCTAAAAACCGAAGACCAATTGGGGCGACAGGGCATCAAAAAAATAAGTAAAAAACAAAAACGCTGGATGGATAACTGCCTTAACCTAGAGACAGGAGAGAAGCCCTAGTCCCTACTTCACAGGACCTGTCAGATCTACATGACCCCAACTGGATGGCATTCCCCTACATATGGAATTGGGGTGGGGGGGTGAGAGGGGAGGGTGGTTAGGATGCATGTGAGAGGGCAGAGAGGGTAAAAGGGAGGGAGGGAGAGGGAACATGTAAAATAATAAATTAAAAAACAAAAACAAAGAACACTAGTAAAGGACTTTACACCAGCAGCAGACATTATAGTACATTTATTTTGTATAAATTATAATACATATTAACATTATTTACAATGCTAGTTTATTTATAAGTGATCTTTATATGAACAATAAGATACAAACCATTATCACTTTAAGTAAAAAAGTGTTGAGAAAACCATTCAAAGGCATTTAAAAAGTATTTGAAACTGGTTTGCACAGGCAGCCAAGTAACTCCAGGAAAGGGAAGGTTGTCTCCCTTTACTCCTCACCCCAAAGGAAAAAGAATATTTGTACACTTTTTTTTAACTCCTGTCACATTTATTTATTTATTTATTTGTTTATTTGTTTGTTTATTTATTTATTTATTTATTTATTTATTTATTTATTTATTTTTCCTAGAAGTCAAGTTACTGTCAGAACTACTACCATCTCTGCGGTGGGGTACATAAACTCGTGTCCTTAAGATTCTTTCCTAGAAGTCACTAACCTTTCTGACAAGGGGAACGCCATAGATTGTCGTTCAGAAACTAACATCAAAAGTGGCAAGAGGCTCCAGAGTATGTGGACTGAAGACACTTTTTAGGGACAGATAGAAGACAGTTAACAAGCAAACATTTTTCTACTGCGTGTAAGGCACTCTCATTAGGATGTGGCAAACCTCCAGTGAACAAGCCAAGCCGTTTCCAAGAACAGAATGCTTAAGAACGATGCAAGCCTGTTTATGAGCTGAGGGTTTACAGAGCACAGGGAAGAGCACACCTCGCCTAGAGGAGGGAAGGAGAAAGCATCCCCAGCACTGTGAGGTGTCAGATGATACGGAAGCAGTTCTGACTGACAGGACAACAAAGAGAACTATGAACAGAGGAAGGCTAAAGTGGGTTCAAGTCGAGCGTACGGACTCCAGGACGAATTGTTCTGTGCCAAACTGGGAATGCCACTGAAGTCTACAGGAATGGGAATTAAATTAGAATTCTGCTTTAGGCAGATTGCTTTGGCAAATTTTAAAACAGACCACACAAAGGAGGCATTGAAATCGGGGGTGGGGGCTGGGTTGGGGGGGTTGAAGGGGGGATGTTTTTCTTGATAAGGGACTGGAACCCCAAGCCTCAAGCATAGGAGGTGAGTGGTGTGTCACTGCACTGCGCCCCAGCTCAGAGGGAAAGCTGCAGTAGCCATAAATAAAGGGGATATAACAGCAGGAAAACGAGGCTGGAAGGGACATGAGGGATTTATAGTCAGATTATAGAGCTCCATGTGGTCTCCTGTTATTGCAGAAGAAAACAGGCTTGACTGGGAAGAAAGCTGAGTGTTAGTCACACCACCGATGTGGCCTTACAGGATGGTAAGGTGAGTGGGTGTAAGAACTGAGCTAGAATACAGGCTTGGGAGACGATTTCAGTGGTAATGAGTCTTGTTATTGAGGCAGGGACACACTGAGGATGATGCAGATGAGCTGTCTTGAGAAAAATAGTGAGAATCCTACTCAAAACACCTTGGGAATCCTGTCCTCACTGTTTTCAACTAAATATCTGAAGATCCAAGAGAAATGGATGGAAGAAATATAGGGTCTATCCTTAAGGATCTTACAGTACAATGAGATAGGATTTACCTCTGGACATCCCAGCAATTTGATTACAACCAGCACAGTAGATGTGCACTCAAGGCATGCCCCACATGCTTGATGATCACATTAGGCTCTCAAACAGGAGGCTTCATCCACTCCTACAGGGCCTTCTATGCATTTTGCTAAGAAATGCATAATTTCAAGATGCTGTCCTCTGACTTCCTTTTTTTTTAATGTTAGTAAATAAATAATCAAGCATAATCAAGCTTACTGGAGAAAAACTAGGGCAGTCTGGGAAAACAGAATGATACTGTTTCTATCAGGAAATGGAAAGAGGTTCAGAAACACGGGATAATATAAAGAATGGTCCTTTTCATTCTCTTAGGACATGGTGTGTGTGTGGGGGGGGATGTCTTCTGCATTTAGCTGCTGCAGACAGAGGGAATGCACTGCTTAGGGGTACCAAGAATATCACCTCTCCTAGCCCAGCCTGCCATCTTGCCATGTTACTGTCTAGCTGAACCTGGGAGACCTGAGCAAGGTTTCCCAGCACACGTGTCCCACTGCTCTGGTATGGCTCACCCTTAAATGTTAGCAATGGAGGTAGCTCATGGGTACAGTGTCCACCTAGAGACCCTGGGCTCAGTAATATTTTTTAAAAGTAGTTTTACAGCAAATTATAAATACATTCTTATTTGCCATTGAATGAGCCAGGTTAAGTAAACTGCTGACCTTATTTACTAGGTTATGAAGGGATCAGGGAGGGACAGGAATGTGGTCTTACTCCACATTTTTAGAATTTTCAGGGGAAACTATCTGACAGCTTGTTTATTGTCTTCTCCAACACTTTCCATAAGACTAAGCAATTAGCAATTATAAACAGAAATTTCATCACATAAGAATTACTTTGAAAAAAAAAGAATTACTTTTAGATTTTAAATTATATTTTGATTTTGAAAAGTTTTTTTTTTTTTGATTCAGAATACTGACTTTTGGAAGCTTATGAGCAAATCTTAAAGAGGTTGAGAATTCAGAGGACAAAAGGTAGAAATATAAAGTATAAATAACCCTGGCCTCCAAAGGAACACATTACACATATTACACAGATATTTACATGGAAAATATTTATGCGATCCAATCAAATTGAGTTGCAAAGAACAGATTGACCTCTTGTGGCAAGGAAGGTTGCATGTGGAGTTGTGTGAGATTGCACAGGGCTTCAAATTATGCTATAGCTAGAGATGGCCATGAAAAACTACATCTTTACCTCAGGTCTAGATTATCTGTGGTAAATGGCTTCCAAAAGGCTCCATGAATGTGTTCAAGATGAAAAAATAGTAATCAGGATATACTTCTCAATGGCTGACATCACAATAAATTATCAGTCTATATAAAGAAGCAAAAATCTTTTGCATCCTTTAATATAATACTCTGGATAACCTTGCCTTTTGGCTGATAGTTTAGCCTCACTCAACAAAATAGTTAAACACAAAAACAATTTTAAGCCTGTTAGCTTCACTCTTCTGCTACTAATCAACAATTTTATGTGTAAGGGGATTTACATGTTAAACAGTAAGTATGACAGAATTAAGAATATGAACCATAGCTGTGTGGTGTGGGAGCTCGCCTTTAATCCCAGCACTCCCAGAGGCAGAGTCAGGCGGATCTCTGTGAATTCAAGGCCAGCCTCGTCTACAGAGCGATTTCTAGGACAGCTAGTACTGTTACACAGTGAAACCCTGCCTTGAAAAACAAACAAACAAAACAAAACAACAAAAGAATTTGAACTTTTCCTACTGAGGGACACTGACTGGCACAGTCTGGTGTGGTAGTCCAATGCATGGGTGCTGAGGCAAGACTATGGATGAGGATGAGGGCAGCCTGGGCTACACAGAAGGACTGGGTCTCAAAGGATGCAGAGAGTGAGAGGAAGAATAAATTTTAAAAGTCAAGGGAAACAATCTAAAGTAGCATAAATTTCCTTTAAAAATATGATAGTCATTTCAGATCACTTTTAAAATACATGTTACAGAAAATGACATCCTTTTAGATATAAATACAAACAATGACTTGGGCTCCAAACTCTTAAGAATAGTAAGGGATATTGGGTAACATGTTGGCTGCCATATTCTGTTTTTAATCACGGAGCTTGGTGGCACACATATGTAATCCTGGCACTTGAGAAGTCAAACAGGTGAGTTCCAGGCCAGCCTGGACTCCAGAGTGAGCCTCTGTCTCAGAAAACCAAGAAAAAAAAAAAAATCACATTTATACCCAACTGGCAGTTTTAAATACAGACTGGGTGTGGTGGTGCGGACCTTTAGCTCCAGGCACTTGCAGAAGACTGTGGCTTAAGGTTTGCCTGAGTCACACAGTTAGCTCAAGGCCAGCCTGGCAATTAGCAAGATCCTACAGGACTGGGGAGTGGGGGTGGGGATGTGAGGCTGGGGATACCGTTATCAGAGCAGACTGCTGGGATTCACTTCATAGTTGCTGAGGTAGAAGCTGGCTATGTGGATCTCTATTGCAATATGATTCAAAAATATGCATTTTCACCTGCAATTTTGTAATTGTAATTTCTACACCAAACACTGTATGGAAATGTGCTCCTTAATATATGTGTTGTACTTGCAAAGACTTAGCAATAGTGAAGGTGTCATGATTTAAGGCAGAGACAGGCGTGTGGACAATACATCAACAGTGTACAGTATACAGTTATTAAGGTAAGCTTCCGTCTCTAAACAGTACTTTAGAATTCAGTGAGTCTCAGAGACAATTCTGACCAGCAAGTAAACATCAACAATTTAATAAATAACATACATGAAAAACGTTTTTAAGAACTGTATATACCTAACGGAACAGTTTATCTCCTAATGGCTGTGGCTGGCTTTATGTTGGCAGTGATCATACACGCCTCCAGGAGGGTTCTCCACTCTGCTGAGCTGTGCCCCCGCAGAAACGAAGCCAACACTGCTACAATATCGTGCCTCCCTGAAACGCTTCCATCCACCTGGTGACGAGACGTATCTGTTAGACTTGGGGACTCAAACCACACCTAAGAGTGTGACACAATTGTTGACTTGGGATCTTTCCTACACCACACAGGAGTATCTACACACAGGGAACTACCCTTTACTTGTCGATTTCATCCAATGTGTTCTTAGTGGCCTCACTCCTTCATGTGCAAATGTTCTAAAATATCCCAGGATGGATGAGAAAGCACAGTGGGTAAAGACACTTGCCACCAAGCCTGACCACCCGAGTTTAGTCCCCGGGACCCACATGATGGAAGGTGAGAACTTGTTCCTGCATGCTATCCTCTGACCTCCACACCAGCATCACCAGAAGACAGTAAAGAAAGAAACGAGAGAGAGAGAGAGAGAGAGAGAGAGAGAGAGAGAGAGAGAGAGAGAGTGTGTGTGTGTGTGTGTGTGTTTACTCGGCTTTGGAAAGGATATGCCCACAAAGGCCCCTATTACAATTCCTTTCCTCTCTTTCTGATGTTCTGACTCAGTCAGTTTTGGAAACTAGCGATGCACCTGTTGTTTTTTTTTTTTCTCCCTTAACTCTACCAACCAAAATCCCCTTGCATGTCCCCCAAACCTATCTTGTTCCAAATTTCTCAATGACAAGGAACTGACCTAGCAGTTGTCCTATTCTAAGATCAAGAATTTACATACAATACAAAACTTTTCCAAGATTTCATAGAAGTCATCACAAAATCTTGAGTCTCAAAGTCTCTTCAGGCAAGAAAGACACAGCTGCAGGCACTCGGAACACCACGCTTGCGCTGTCTCCAATCGCTCTTTGTTAGTTGGGCTCCCTGAAACCTACTCCACCCCTACGCTTACTGACGAACGATTCGTACAGTAACAGATTACAGAAGAAAGGACGGGAGAAAGCTATGAACATCCCAATCACTAATCCTCAGAATAGCCCATACACACTCAGCTCAAATATCAAGGACAGAATTTACAAAATTTCAAATTTTAGGTGCAAATAGCTTATGTTACACTGCAACGGAACACGTAAAAGAAGTCCCACTGGGGCTGGAGAGATGCTCAACACTTAAGAGCTCTAGAGGAGCCAGGTTCGGTTCCCAGTGCCCACACGGTGGCTCTCAACCATCTCTACATAACTCCAGTTCCAGAGGATCTGATCAGCCCTTCTGACCTCCACCAAGCACCAGGCACACATGTGGTACACAGACATACACACAGGCAAACACCCAAACACACCCAAACACACCCAAACACACACACACACACACACACACACACACACACACACATCAAATCTAATAAAACCTTGTCACAAACGAGGAATTAATTCTCGTTAAGGAGGAGTTGTTTGGATAAACAGCTGTACATTCCTTCACATCCTAAAGCAGATGGGGGAAGTTTTTCAGAGTGTAGCATTGTGCCTGGTTTGTGCTCGGATACATATGCAAATATACCACATTAACTCCGAAGTGTCTACAAAACCGCCCTCAGAGAGCTGCCTTGTGTCCCAAGCTCTTGACTTAGAAGCCTGCCGTGAGCACAGCGGAGCCTGGGTGTGTGTGTGTGTGTGTGTGTGTGTGTGTGTGTGTGTGTGTCATGAGCACAGCGGTGTGCTCTGTAGGGTGACAAGGATCACATGCAGAGAGGTCAGCTGAGCTGTGCGCTCAGAGGGGCCTTCACCTCACAAGCACACCCCTGTAGGTTAAACGGTCCCCCACACCCCAAATTTAGATTCCTGTGGGATTTCGAGGAGATCGCTCCGGTCTTGACCATCTAAGATGGTAGGTGATTCCTTGGACTCAGGCCCTGGGAGCAGTCTGTGAGTCTCTCTCTGTGTTTGAGTCTCCTGCATAGCAGCCAGCAGCTGTTTTGCCTGTCAGTCATGCTGGTCCACAGGCCAGGGCTCCCTCAGAGCAGAGCGCCAAGCCCTTCCTCCCAGGTCAAGCTCAGACACACTCCACGGACAGGGCTGCCCAGTTTTCTTTCATCGTCTGCTTTAAAATCATCTGACTGACAGGTTAAATCTTTCTAACTGGGATCTCTGATGGAAACTGCTCTCTGTGCTTTTAAAATGTCATTTAAAACAACAGCTTGAGGTCCCCCGGGGCAGAGGGAGATCTGAATTACTTACTTCTGAGTGGAGTGGGCATCATCTGCCTTAAACACATAGAACACCATGCCTTTGTGCAGTAGCTGAAACACCCTGGAGTCTGAGTTCTCATCTTTGACTTGTGTGACGGTAAACCCTAATAAAGGCTGGCTCTCCAAAGCGGCCACGTCCTAATTTGAGACAGACAAGGGAGGATAGGCTTTGAGGCTGAGAGGTAGTTCAGGTTTGCAAAGTCTCAATTTAATACCCAGCACAGTGAGTCTAACAGCTCATTTTTACTTATTCCGCAGCGAGCCTCCTACTCGCCACCTGCCAGGTTTCAGCAAGTTTATACCCACTGACTTTCCCATTGTTTTTACTGTAGTCAAGGAAAGCAGGCGATGATGGCCTTACTTTCGGTTTAGAGCAGTAGGTGATTTACCCAGATGCCACGGAGGAACTCTGGGACTCTGGCTAGTTGTTTGTTGAGACAGGGTCTCACTCTATGCCCAAGCACACCTGGAACCCACGGTGGTTTCCCTGCCTGGGTTCTCCAAAGGCTTTGTTTTGTTGATCTCACCATGTAACCCTGGCTGGCCTGGAACTCACAAACATTCACCTGCCTCTGCCTCTAAGTGATGGAATTAAAGGAGTGCGCCACCATTCCTGGTCCTCTTCTTCTTTCTGGAGTCTCACATAACCCAAGGTGGCCTCACACTCCTCACATAACTGAGGCTGACTTTGAACTCCTGAGTCCCCTGCTGCTATCATCCAACTGCTAGATTGCAGGCATGTGGGGTCACGCCCTGCTTCCCTAGCCGCCTTCGTAGGCTGCTGGAACACACAGCTGATGACAAGAGCTTGTTTGTGCTGAGGCCTAGTTAGTATAAGCTGGAGACACCAACAGTGGCTGCGAGAGAGGCAATCCCTGTCTTGTGCGAAAGAGCAATCATATGACAACAGAAATACCTGCATTTTAGTACTCTTCAAAATTCCTAACACTGGAGTAAGAGCTCGTGGAAAAGAAGAATAACACCGTCCACATTAAAAGTACAAGACAGTCATGGTGGCTCACTGCTGTAATCCCAACCCTGGAGAGGTTGAGGTAGAAGGATGACTGAGTTTGAGGATAGACAACCTGGGCTAAACGGTGAGTTAAACCAACCTGGGCCACCTGATGAGTCACTGTCTCAAAAATCCAAACATGACGAATGAGCACCGCCACCTCCCTGTGTCTAAAACAGTGCTTGCTTGGCATGCCCAGGCTCCATGACATCCTCAGCTCTGTAACCCTCCAATAGGCCCCACAAAACTAAAACAAGACCCCTCCAAAGTCACCCGCAAGCGTCCATCTTACCTCACTGGCGGCGTACGTATAGAGTACTTTGTTTTTGATGACAAACCATAAGTGTTTCCATGGCTTTTTGCTGCCCTTGGATCTGTAAAGGTAGCCACTCATGGTAGAGTCTTCTGTGTTTGCTGAAACCTGGGAAAGGCAGTCCCACACCCAGGTCAGTGGCTCACAGACTACTCTTCAGTAACAACAAACTTGCTACTGCTAGCTACGACTGGCACATTTCAGAATGACACTGGGTGTTCTCTGTATTCTTGTGGAGGGGCGTTGGTGTGCAGGAAAGAAACTGCCCACATGACTGCCCCATGATATTGCTTAGGCTTTTTATTATAGACGAAAGAGCAGCCAGGGACAACTGGAAGAGTCCAGAGTAGACAGACGGAAGGAGACTGAACATGGCCAGGGCTACTTGCTAGAGAGGGAGAGTAAAAGTGGGTGGTGGTGAATAGAGAATATAGTGAGAATACCTGGGTTAAAGGAAGCCTATGGGCTGGAGGGAGTTTAGGGTTAGGTGATGCGGTAAGAAGGGCTAGGAGCTAGCGCAGACTTTGATATGTGTAACAGGTACTGAGGAAGCCTGGTGGCTAGCCTGTGTTTTCCTGAGGAACCCTGCCTTTTATCTGACTGTCAGAAGTCCTCCTGTAGCCCAGGTTGAAACCATTTCTGGATATCTGGACTGCCTCTTGGAGTTCGGAGAACTGGAGATTCCTTTGGATCTGACATTCTCAAGCCCTTGTCAAACAATCTGAAGTCTGTTAGCATGGGCATGAAAACCCTTCCTTTAGTGAGGACCCCAGACCTTTGCCTGGCTTGCCCATTCCTGCACAGGCTTCTGTCTCTTGTGGGCTCAGCTGTGTTGTCTGGTGTGTCAGAGAGAATTCAAAGCCTACCAAATGTTTTTTTCAGGCTGCATTTTGGGGACCACATGTTATCTGTTACTCAGGTCTACACAGCAAGCTCCAGGTAAGCCAAGGCTAGATAGCAAGGGCCTGGCAAGAGCAGGAAGAATTGGGGAGAAGGGGTGGGGTGGGGATGAGTTAGTTCTTTCCTCCTACCACATGGGTCATCCACACGGTTAAACTCAGGCTGTTAGGACTGATAACTGAACTCAGGGTATAAGGTTTGGCGGCAAATGCCTTTACCCACTGAGCAATCTGACTGGCCCACATTCCTGTTTTAGAATTAATTCATGCGCCCCACAGAATAATCAGTCAGTACTGACTATCTATGAATATCCCTCTGTTATCTTTTCAAAAGTAAAATTCACATTGACCAACTTAATTACCTGGTTCATAAAGCTTGTCTCACTTTTTGCTTGTGTCTGAGTTCTTAAGACCAGAAACTCCTGATCTTCCTACCTAACCCTTTCCATTTAAAAGATGGGCTTGCTATGTTGTCTAGCCTGGCCCTGAACGCCTAAGCTCAAGTAAATCCTCCTAGCTCAGTCTACTGAGTAGCTAAGGCTACAGGCATGTAAGCTATCATGCCTAACAAGGATCTCAAAGTCAGGAACTTAAGATTCAGAATTGAAGGATTAAAGAGAGAGGTCATAGACATTCTCTTAATTGGCCTACATTGTTTCATATATAACCAAACCAAACAGTACAGACCAGTAGAAGGTGGTAAAATGACCAGGATGAGCTTGTACTTTCTCCTACGGTAAAGACACCCTTTAAAACGACTTCTATGTCTACTTCCTAGGACTGCAATAAATGTTCTCCAAAGCTTTCTGCAGCCATTTTGCCAACGACTCAGGTCATGAGGAAGATAAAGACCGCAAGGCATAGCCAGAGTATTAAAATCCGTGTGCTAATAGTGATGGGAAATGTCCTTTATGACATTCCGCCTCACCAAGGTCAATGGAAACGCTTACTTCTTTGAGGGCGGCTGGGATTTTCTTCTGCTTCCTTCCCGATGGGATACTGTGCAAGACTGAGGAGAAGGCACTTGAAGGAGACTTGTGATTCCCAGGGGATCCAGTCCTGGGAGGCACCTGGTGGTCTATGACAAAGCAGGCGTGTTCGTGTTCATGTAATTAGCATGCAACTGCCACTAAAATCAGTCAACGATGATGTATAAAATACTCATGAAACGAAGGGGGGATTGAGAACTGAGCAGGAGTTGAGCTGATTACATACGGATTTTTTTTTTTTTTTTTTTTTTTTTTGGTTTTTTGAGAGCTAGGCTAATCTGAGTTACAAAGGGAAAACATCTCAATAAATAAGTAAATAAAGGTACACAGAAAAAGTTCACCAATCAAGCATCCAATGAAGCAAAAGTCACCAACAAAGTGCCAACCTGTATGCCCCCATGCTGATGACTGCAGATAAAAGTGTCTGGGGACTAGGGATGTAGCTCGGTGGTCCAGCACTCACCTCACGTGTGAAAAGTTTTGGGTTTGGTCCCTTGTACTCCCAGGGAGTAAAGTAGAGAAAGGAAAGAAAGTCTACCTCAGAATGAAAAGCAAGGGCTAGAGAGATGGCCCAGTGGTTAAGAGCACTTGCTACTCTTGCAGAGGACCGGGGTTTGACTCCCAGCAACCCACATGGCAGCTCACAACCATCCTTAACTCCAGTCCCGGGGGATCCCATACCCTCTTCTGACCTCTGAGGGCATACTATATTCCTTCTGGAAATAAATTCATCACAAAAATAAATAAATCTAAAAGAACGTAAGTGAAAAACAGTAAGTGGAAACTTTGAATGGCCCCAAGTTAAACCTTCTAACTGTGTTAAGCATTTTATTCAGTAACAATCCAATATGTTCTTAGTAAAACCATTTCACATTGTTAAAAAAAGAAAAAAAAAATGGCTCAGTCTAATTTCTCTTGGAGTTACCACAAAACTCAAGTTAGAGCAGAGTAGGAATTAAGACAAGTCGGGTAATCATGCTTCATGCGTTTAGGAGGTTGACAGCATCTGAAGCAGAGACTTTGGTTACATGTTTATTTTCACATTACCTAATTTCTGCAGCTCTTGGAAGCAGTGTTCACATACTCTCGCCAGCTGCTTTTTCAGGTAATCTAGGCCATACTTATTTGATGAGCAAGCTTGGCACACAATCTGAAAAGACATTACAACTATTTCACTCGGAAAAACTTTTGATTACAAACCATAAAAAAGGCTACAGTTTATAGCGCTGTCCATTAATCAAAACAGTTTGGCGAGAACTGACTCTCACTTATCTCAAGGCGTTCCGGCATACAGTGGGCTGTAATTTACAGACTGCATACATAGAGGGGCTACACATAAGCCCCGGGTGCTTGCTTTAAACAATGTGCTCAGCAGAGCTAACACACGCAAGCCTCCGGGACACCGCCCGGTGTGCAGGCATGTCTGTCAGTCTCACTGATGACCCTCATCCTAAGCATCATCCCTGCCACAGCAATAACCACCTCTCTGCGACTCTACCTGGTCATGGGGCCCAGCTGCATCTTTGAAGGAGCTCTCTCTTACTAAGCGCACCCTGCTAAAGAAACCGTGAAAGCTTCTACTACAGTGTGGATTGGAGTTACCTTCCAAGGACTCGTGTGTGAAAGTCTCCATTGGGGCGCTAGGAGGAGGCAGCAGAAACTTTAAAAGGTCATTTAGGTGGGGTACCTTCATAGAGGATTGTGGGGTCATTTCTTCCGAGTTTTCTACTCTTACCAATCGAGTACATGGCCTTCTTTGCCCACTACACCCTCTCAGCATGACAAGGTGCCCTAACCCCAACACTACAGGACAAGGCCATGCACTAAAGTCCAAAAATGTAAGCCAAAATAAATCTTTTCTCTTTATAAATTGGTTAATTGGGGCAGGGCACACATCTTTAATCCCAGCATTCAGGAGGAAGAGGCAGGTGGAGCTCTGTGAGTTCAAGGCCAGCCTAGTTTACATAGAGAGTTCTAGGACAGCAAAAATACAGGCCCTTCCTACTGATCCTTGTCTACAGGAAGATGGCAAAACAAACAAACAAACAAACAAACAACCCACCAAGCTATAATATAAATAAGAGTCTGTAGAGTTATAGAGTTGGGGGTTATTTTGTGCTTTAAGCTAGAAAGGTTGGCCTTGGACTTGCTACAATCTCCCGGCTTCACCCTTCTTAGGGCTGGGATTCGCAGGCATGTGCCGCCATGCCTGGATTAGCTTTCAGTTTTGAGTATGGGTTCTGTATGGCTGCAGCAATACTGTGAGTGTGGGTGGAGGGAGGAGGAAGCTCCCAACAATGTCCCCGACTCCAGCCGGGTGACACAGACGAGCCCACACCTGCGCGTCTCACTACCATTGTTTTTCTGTTTCATATACTACAGTGACTTCTGAGAGAATATCCCTCACTGTAGCCCGGGGACATAGAAGTCACAACAGGGATAGATAACTGCCCCTTCTGACCTTTCCACAGGCCCTGCAGTGATGTCTTCTCCAGGTCAGAGTGAATTCACTTGTGCAAATCATACACATGGTGGCTCTGGTATCAGGAATCCAGATGGGCGCCTTTGACCCAAGAGGACTGACGTCCTCTTTCTTTTCTGAGTCCTGTGGAGGAAGAAAGACTTCTGGTTACTTGGTGCGCACTGCCCGTGATGGCATCAAGTCTTTGCGGTGTCCCTTCTCCAGGGCTGATGGCATCATTAAGGATGTGGGAGGAAAAGGGGGCCGTGACATTTCCAGTCCTCGGTATATTAAGAGTTTACATCTGAAAATTCTCTATTGGCACAAAGATGGTCACTGTACTGAGATGATTAACTTCTTCCTTAAGTCATTACCCCCACCCCTGTTCCCTACAGAGAAAGCTCGGGATAGAGCTGGGGTAGTGTCACATGCTTAGTGTGAGCCAGGCCCTGAGTTCAATCCCTAAACACACAGAGAGAGGCAGAGACACACACTTCCTTCCCATACACACCCGCACACAGAGACACGCAGAGACACAGAAGAAGGCAGGCAGACAGACACACACAAATAAATTTCCTACACTTCGGTTTTACAACTGCCAGAAACTCGGGGTACACATAGCCTCCTCCAATCCATCTCTTAAAAACAGGTTCCTTTCCTAAAGCTCTATGAATGCTTTACAGTTAAACGGAAAGCAAAGCCCCGAGGTGAGCCTGAAGGAGGGGCCAGGCGGGACAGTACCTCGTCAAGACTCCTGCTGGGGCAGAAGGTGGTCTTCTTCTTGGCGTACTCTTCTATTGACCTGGATATGGCCTCCAGCCACTCATCTCTTTCTGTGGCAGAGCTGAAGGGTAAACGGTCAGTCAAGAAGACATCAGCACATCTTCTGCCCTTTTCTCTTTCCTTCTCCCCAGGCAACAATACCACCCTCCTGTCAGGTCCAAAGGGAAGGCCTTCCAGAAGGGGTCACTTTCTTTACCTCTGGCCGATGGGACACATGGCTACTTGTGGTTGCATATAGCAGCCCACAGTGGCCTCCAGGCTCCCTCAGTATCACAAATGCATGCTATGCATGTCAAAGTCCATGAGAGCATACTAGCCCTTTTCACCCCCCCCCCAGGGCTTCCTTCCACCCGTTTGTTCTCTATAATGGCAAGCTTTCCCCCTCTACCTCCTCCCACTATTCTTGCTATATTCTCATTCCGTCTCCCCTCCCCCACTCTCCCTCTCTCCCTCTCTCTCTCCCTCTCTCTCTCTCTCCCTCCCTCCCTCCCTCCCCATTCTCTCTCGCTCACTATTCTCTACTCTATTTTCTCACACGCCTCCACTTCCTTAGCCCTGGCCATATGCCTTTGCCTGCCCCACCCCCACCCCATCTACAATAAAAACTTTCCCATACCATGGAGCAGTCATGCCGGCAGCTTCTTTATTGGGCCCCTTCTCCTAACGGGTTAGGGTTGGCGTTAGGGTTTAGGGTGCCGATAGCCGCACTACAATGACCCAAGGTAGGGATCATTTGTTTCTGCTGCCTTCTGACACCACCAGACTCTACTCCACACAGCTTCTCCTGCGCCTGCTCTAAGCGTTCACCTCTCCTTGCCTACTGCTCAGGGTCCTCTCGGTCCCTCTGCCCCTGGAGCCTCCTACGGCCTCCTGGGCACCCGGCACTTGGAGAGGCCCTGCCTCTCGCTGGCTCCCTGGGCTCTGCTGTAAGTCTCTCCACTGTGATTCAGGGCATCTCTCTACTACGGCACTCTCCTCTCCCACGCTACTGGAATTCTCTCTCTGGAGAGGTCCTGCTCCTGACCCTTAGCCCCAAGGCTGTCCCATCTCATCTTTGCCCTGCTCCTGGTTCTTTTCCCACCAGTCTCTTGGCTCACTCCTGGAACTTGATTCACCTTCCTTCTTATTCTGTTTCCTCCTTGGACTCAAAGATTTCATTAAAGCCTCACCATCTTACTGTAAATTTGGCCTCACTACAGCTCAGTGGCCCAAAAATGACACACTCAATTTCCAAATTCTCCAAGATTTGTTTTATTTCTGTGTTTTGAGTCACGGTTTCTCTGTGCAACCCTGGCTGTCCTGGAACTTGCTCTGAAGAGTTCCACCTGCATCTGCCTTCTGAGTGCTGAGATTAAAGGCATCACCACTGCGGGGCACTCACAGATTATTAACAATTTCTGCTCATACATACACACACACACAAACACACACACACCCTCTGATCCTGAAAATCTCTTTAAATTTTCTCTGCTTTCCACTCCTAAAACTCTCCTATCTCTCTGCTCTCAAAAAAAAAAAAAAAAAAAATCTCTTGAGATTATTGTGTAAACTTTTTGTTTGTAAGTTTACTGGGTGTGGTTTAAAAATATGTAAAATCTTTAACAAAGCTTAAAACTTAAAACAGAGTTGATAACATATGTATGTATATAAACAAATATATATACATATATATATATAGTTAACTACTATAAATGCTTGTATGTAACAACTGTTGTTTAAAAATTAGATCTGTTACAGCATAATGTATATGTGAGTTGAACTTAATTCTTGTTTATGAAAAATAGGGCTTACTAATAACAAATATTTGATGACTGAAGTTTAAGGTCTATTGAGGCCAGCAGAAACTGACTTAGACACACAGGTCTAGCTGCTCTGTCTTTGCTGACTTGGTTAAGCTTTAGATATTTGAGATAAACGTAACAAACTGATACTATGAAAAGGGACTATGAAAGGACCAGAAAAGACAGGACGGTGAGGTGACGAGGACCCATCTTTAGCACCATAATTCCTAAGATGAGTAGTAACTAAGGGAACTAACACTGTGATGGGAGGGCTCACCCAGCCCTCGGCACACCAAGTTTTGTCCCTAGACATCCCTCACCGGGAAGCTGTCTTTCACATAAGAGAAGAGGCCTGCCTGGAAAAGGGCATTCTCCTTTTGCATTTTCAACCACACCTCTCCTCCCACACTCTGTGCTTAATCCCCATCCATTACTAGTGCAAGACAGTTATGAAGTCATTTAAAATTTGCTTTGCATACTCCAAACTTCCAGGCACACTTTAGGGAATATAAACATGACAATCTACAGATACACATGGAGAGGAGAGAACAGACAATCAACTTAAGATCTATCATAATGAAATAAATCCCTCATGACGGGAGCACAAAGGTGTAAGGAAATCCCTGTATTTCCCAGAGAATGATGTTAATGTATGCAAATGACCTGACAACTGCAGTTGGATTTAAAATATTTTAGAAAAATGTGAGACAAGAAGTCAGCTCATTGCAGCTTATTGTATTATTCACTCTAATTTTAAGCATAAACAATATACAACATATATATTATATGCACTCGATATACTGACTATATTAAATATATAATATGAATAAATCAAGTAAGAACAAAATAAAATTAAACAATACTCAAAACTGTGAATAGAGAGACATATGAAGGGCACAGGCACAGGGTACTGGTTTTTTTTTTGTTTGTTTGTTTCCCTCCCCCTTTGCCAGGGCTGGAGGATCAATCCTGGGAGGACCTTAGGAATTCTAGACTAAGAACTCTAACAACGATCTGCTACAGCCCTAGTTCCTGTGTTAGAAGATGTTAGAACCGCTTGCCTTCCCCATAATAAATATTTTTCAGTAATGTTACTTCCCTGATGAATGCCACTTAGGATATTTTTTCATACTGATACAAGAATTTACAAATGATACTGACAAATCAATAGTTCCCAAATTTGTATTCCATACAAGAACAAAACAAAAAATAACACTTTTCTTTCTAAACCAAATAAAATCTGCCCGTCACTTCTACTATTCCAGATTATTGCCAAAGACAATTGCCGATTAACAGTTGCTATATGCTCAGCTAGCAGCACCAGCTGCTTCCCAAATGTCATCATTTCTCATCTTTAGGGCCCCTGGAATACCCACTGGCTCTTACTTCTGCCCACTACATTAGCAGACATTGTCACCATGTGCAGATGAGGAGCTGTGGACCACCAACACTAGACACTGGTTTACCAATGACCGCTTCCCGGGTTATGAACTGATACGAGACCCTTCACCACCAGGTCAGTACCACCCGGTCTGTGTTCTCTGAAGAACCACAGCACAGGAACAGACACGACTTCTGGGCAAACACTTATGAATCACTACCAGCTCTCCTTCCACCGCCCACTTTTTGCTCAAAGTTAACTGCAAACAGAGAGGCAGATGGCTAATTTGAGAATTGCTGTTGAGATTTTTCTTTTCTTTTCTTTTTTTCCTTCTTTTTTCTTTTGGAGCCCCGGGAGCATGAGAAATGTGATTTGACTGTACAAATCATGTCACATATGCTGTTCTTTTGTTTAATCATTCCTGGCGTTCTCTTGTGTGGGCTTCTGCCAAGACAATGTTTACCAGCTCTTGATAACACATTTCTCACAGACCACACACATTTGCCTGACACATACAGTGCTGACACCCTAGGCCTTTTGTAACACAATTAGCAGAAGAATCCACATCTTCCCCAAACTGACAAACAGCTTGAGTACTTTGTTTTTCACAGAATGTGGGCATCATCAGAAGGCAAATTTTGTCAAGCCAAGTTATTTCCCTCTCAATTGCAAGGAGTTGCTGGGAGGGGGGGAACTGTCCAAGTGAAGGACCTCTCATGTATCAGACCTTGCCACACCAATGCTTGTGCCGACAGCATGGGGCAAAGCCCATGCTTAAAGGCCACGTTACTGTGACTCTTCTGAATTACGTTTACTGGGCTACTATGATAGGATTAAGGACTGTGAACTGGACATACAAAATAGGCTTCAGCTAAGGGCTCACCCCTTACTCTGGTGAAAAAGTAGCTAGCATATAATGCACGCACCGAAGAGGGACATTGCAGGGCAAGTTTGCAGAGGAGCTGACAGGACCTGAAGACTTACAGAGTCTCACAGGGAACAGTCTCATACTTTGGTCATCTCCAAATGCTGGCATTCACACACATGCACCCAGCCCAGGCACCCTTCTGACACTGAGACCCTTGCATGCCTGAAGCTCCATGCTGACAGTTCACATGCTCCATGTGCACAGCAACTCCTGATTTTCCCTCAACTGCTCTCCCAGTGCTACCTATCACGGTGAACGGCATCACCACCCTACAGCCCACAGAGCCGGCCAACTCCTGAAGAAAATCCCTTTCTTCCGCCTTCTGTGTTCAAGTAATGCCTTCTCCCCCTGTGCTGTCCATACAGGAGTGAAGATTAACTATCGCACTGTTCTCTGTTACGAACCATTAAGTGGCTTTCCCATGGCCTTTATGCTAAAGACCCAAATCCAACAGGTGGATCGCACACTGACTTCCCAGGCCCTCCAAGCTTCTCCTGCGGGCCTCCTGTATCATCTCCTAGCTCATACCACATGCTCCTCCTGCCTTAGACTCTTTGTAGTCAGTGTTGCTAAACACCGGGAGGCCCTTGCTTTTCCCTTTGCCTAGTTATGCAACAGCTATCCTTCCTAAATCAGTGAACACAACAAGCCTTTAAGGCCTATCTCCATGTCCTTTCTCCACTAAATCTAGCTTGCTTATCAGCCTCGTAACAATGAGTACTATTCCTGTAGCCTACTTAATTATAGTAATCCTTACTTTACTTGGGTTCATATTTGCAAAAGCACACGTCTGCCCTAGCGGATACAGGCTTGGTGAAGAAAGGCTCTTAATCATTCTCTATACCTCTATGCCTAGCACAATGCTCTGCCAAAGGCAGAGGCTCCATATTACTGACTGACTGAAGTGATGAGGTCCAGGCAGAGGAGCTCCCTGAGAAAGGCAGGAAGATGTGGAGTAGGATAGCATGCATGGGGCATGGGGACATAAGCTGGGAGCCAGGTACTGACTCTCTCCAGCTATGAAGGTTCTAGCTGCATCTTCTACTACAGAAAAGCTGTTTCGTTTATACAGGAGACCTGTTGGATGGCATAGCCATCTTCTTCAATCACCTCAGCTCCATCTCCTGGATAACTCACTGCAGCTGCTACATCAGCACCTGCTGCTTTATACACCAACCTTCAGTTTGCATGGAAGACCCAGCACAACCCTCAGGAATCAGCCCTTGCTTCCTCAAACATCCCGCTACAGCAGTGCCTCCCTCTCTCTCCCCGCTTGCACGGAACTGCTTAGGCTTTGGACTAAGAGAATGCTGTTACTGGCTCCCTTTTCTACCGTCACTACTCGAATGTCGCCCATAAAACATAAGCCTGCTTTTACTCATTTGTTCAGTGGAGTAGCACATTTAACCGTCTTCAGGAACTTTTCCATGCCATTTACAACTTGGCTAACTGGCCCCAAAGGCCTAGTCCTCAGCCTGCCTGGGCTTTTGGCACACCTTCCTTATTAACCGCGATCACTTCTAGCTTTTGATTTAAAGTGGGAGATGGGTAACTCTTCCTTTTGGCTGGACACTTGCAGACCAGCGTAGGGTTAGTTTGGCTAAGAAAATAGGGAGAGCGTGGCGAAGGAGAAAATACGGGGAAACATTCCATTCACAGTCAGAAAAATAAACGCTTCTTAAGTTCAGCTCATGGTACCCAAACCAATTAAATGTGAACATCAAGATCGCATGGTATAGATCATGAAAACAGATCCAACAATGAAAAAATTAAATACCGCGAGTATTAAAAAATAACAGGGCAGAGAGAGACATAGGTAAAGGGGGCAGTGCTAAGAAGAAGATGGCTCAGTGACTACACGGTGCCGAGCCACCACGCTGGCCCACTTAACAAGCTCAGAGTCCCACAAACACTGGCGCCCCGGCTTCAATGGCACCGAAGCCCGACTCTGCCCTCCTTACGTGCACACGCGTGCACCTCACACAGGTGCACACACACAAACGCAAACCTTAACTTCTAAGAAGAAGAGAAAAGGGGCACTGGGAGACTGTAGAGTTGACACAAACTTCCAGTTCACAGAATAGACAACATGGAGGCACGTGCCTGTAACCCTGCCACTCAGGAGGCAGAGGATCGCTGGCAACTGCGGGCCAGCGAGGCCACGTAAGGAGGCCTGGCCTCAAAGTAAACAAGTGAACACACACATGAACACACACAGAATCTGCAAAGCAGAGGGAGGTACCACACATGACTTAGGTCTGTGTGTGAGTAACACAGCTTGGGGTTTCCTTAATACTCGATTTACACTATAGCTTTCCTATTGTTTTGAGACAGGGACTCATACGGCCAATGTTGGCCTCACACACACTATGTAGAGGAGAAGGATCCTGAATGACTGTGTGTGCCATGAAGGCCAGCCCTTATGACATTTTTCATTACACCTAAGTCACTGTCCGATTCAGTTTGAGGTCAATTTGGTATCTTATGCAACAGTAACCACACACACACACACACACACACACACACACACACACAATACTCTGATTTCTACTCTGCCTTTGTTAGCTACATTGACAACAAATTCAACTGGCTTCTTCGTTTTTAAAGAGATGATAAATACTGATACATGAAATCTTTCTGGTAAAATATATAGCATTAAGTGTTCTTAAACATGTTGTGTTAAACTAGGATACTTTTAAAAGGTTATCAGCATAACAAATTCCAGCATAAATATTATTGTTATTATTCTACCTAGAGGAACACTACTACCTTTTGTATCAGCTCCATCATGTGCTTGGTTATAATGAGTAACCAAATGGGAACAGGCTTTAGGAAAAGAATAAATAAAATATCTAGCAGCTGACCTAAATTAAAAATTAGAAAAACAAAACAAAACAAAAAAACTTTCTGAGCCAGCTACACTGGCAAAATGAGGTACGTGTGTGTACGTGTATATGACTACGGGATGACCACACACACACACACACACACACACACACACACACACACACACACACACACTTACCTGGCTGAGAGGATGAAAGAGCGCTCTACACTTTCAATCTTTAATTCGTTCTGATATGCTTCTTGGGTGGGTTTTCTGACCTGGAAAAAGGTACACATATCTGTCAAACTCACCGTGCTGCATGCCAATCTGACATGTCAGGAGTAGCTGAAGTTGCCCAAATTCCCGTAAGTCTGCTCACTCAGCTTTCTCTACTGTCCTTTGCCATCTATTCTATCATGTTCTAGATGAATTTAAATACCCGCATGCAGGCCTGACTTCCCCAGTGTCCTAGCATGGTGGCCTAGGTCATCCTCAAGGCTCACTGTCTATCTCCAGAAAGGCTTCCCTGATTCTCTCTTGGGTGGCGGTTCCTGCTTCGTGACTTACTTGGGAAAGGGTCTCACTATGGAGCACCTGACATTCTCCAGATGTCCATCAAAAGCAGCACACCAACCACACCTACCAAAAGATGCACGCTCTTCTTGGCTATGGAGGTTCACACCAGTGATCTCCGCACTCAAGAAGCAAAGGCAGAAGAAGCCTTGATTTCTAAGTTAGCCTGTGCTCCAGAGTCAACCCTAGCTTATAAAAAGCTTGGTGTGGTTGCTCACACTTGTTATTCCAGCACTTGGGAGAGCGAGGCAGGAGGATAAGGAACTGAACACCAGCCTCAACTACACAGGCCAGCCTGGGCAATAAAATAAAAGCACCACCCAAGCCAGACTTTTAAACAGACCCCACGCATACACAGAAAAAAATGTATATATACATACAAACATTCATACATACATACATATAAGATGACAGTCCTACTATACTGCCTCAGATGGTCTTGACTCTTGGCCTCAAATGATCCTCCTAGCTCAGCCTCTGTGTATGGGAATTAAAGGTACACCATCGACTTGTCTTTGGCTCTAAATTCCAATTACTTCTTTATTTCTGCTACAGTTAGGCAGTCTCAAGTAGCTGCGGCTCTCCTGAAACTCAGCACGTAGCTGAGAAAGCCCTTGAGCCCCTGCCCCTCTTACCTGCCCGGCCCAAGGGATGAGAGTGCGTGCTGCCGTGCTCTCCCTGTGCCCCTAACTGTGTAAAGTGTGTCTGGAGAGCGGCCCTCACTGCTGTGTTACTCACGGGTGCCACCCTGCTTCACTGCAAAGTCTCGGGGTACAGGGAGGCTTGGGAAGAGGCAGACACAAAGAGAATCATCCTTTAATTCATCCTCACGTGTTTTACGGGACCAGTTACTGTTTTTGTTTATGGTAGTTCTCAGTAACTAACCCTTGAATAAACTAACACAAGAACGAGGCAGCGACAGAAATGAACAGATGCATAAGTAGCAGCAAACGAACAGAAGAGGGGTGAGAGAAAAAAAAAAGGCCATCTTATGGGTTCTCCTCTGCATGTGTTTGCATAAGTGAAACATGTAATATGCACACGGACCTTCATTCCGGCCAGTGAGAGCATGTTGTTCAATTTGTACATCCCAGACTGCATGGGTGTTGTATACAGCAGGGCATCGTTAAACTGGAAGAAGAAACATAACACAAGGTCACGTACAAAAACCAATTTTAGCAACAAAGATGCTACCAACACACAAGGAGAAAGGGAAACGGTTACCTGTCCAAACAAATTCTGAAGCAATGTGCTTCATTTCCAAGAGATTTAATGCTTTATGGGTTCTAAATCACACCAAAATATTACAATCTGCCTCGATAACTGATTAAAACAATTCCAAACTTAAAATAGAATAAACTAAATTCCAAAAGGAAAAACATTTCTGGTCGAACATCGTTAACAGATCTCATCATGTCCCATGCCTGAAACAAGCGATCTGGCTGCCCAAACGCCACCAAGCTGCTGAGTGCGCTAGCTCATACCTGCCTTCCATCAGGCAATGACCCGGACGTGTGAAACCACACAGGGCCTCTTACCAGGAAAAACATTCGGGGCTGCATGACTTTCCGAGACAGCTTCATCAGAATGCCTTCTTTGAGAAAAACCTAATTCATCCAAGCAAACACTCAGTTAGTCCTACCGTCGTCACACAAGGACAACACACACAGAACATCCTTCCAGCATTCTCCCAGAACTGCTTCTTTTTAAGCCCTACAAGTGATTTAGAAATGGGACTAAAAGACAGGAGGTGGGGAGCGAGGGAGACGGGCCTGGGGAGAAGATTGTAATTGCTATTGCAGAGGTTAGCTTTCAGCAGCCTCTAACTCTAGTTCCAGGATATCCGACACCCTCTTCTGGCCTCTGAGGGTATTGTAGGCACATGGTACGCATTCACAGGCAGTTAAAATACTGGTATGCATAAAATAAAAACGAACAAATGAATACCGTTTCAGAGAAAAGCAGGGTGGCAATTTGTTCAGTTGTCAGGGTGCTTTTGCTTGCCCAGCATGCATGAAGCTCTGGGTTTGATTGTTTTGCACCTCAATAAACCAGGCATGTGGCGGTGTGCTATTCTCTAATTCTAGTACTTGGGAGGTGGAGCAGGAAGAGCACAAGTTCAAGGGTAGCCTGGGTTATACAAGACTGTCTCAAAAAAGATGAAGAGGGCCAATGAGATGGCTCAGTGGGTAAGGGTAAGGGCTGTAAAGCCTCATGGTTCGAGTTTAACCCCTGAGACCTACACCGTAGAAGGGAAGCCAAGCCTCCCAAGAGCTGTCCTTTGCCCCCCGCCACACACATAAATACGACATAACTTTTTTCTTAAAAAGATAAAAAAAATGGAAAGAAACCAAAAATTATACAGAAATGTTAAAAAGATCTCAGATGTAAGAAGCAGTTTCATAAATCCCGTATTGGCTCCAGGGGTATTCTGTGGACTGACATGACACTAACTGTCTATGTGTACTGGGTTTTGAGGCACATCCAACGACCTGACAATTTTTTTGCAACTTGCTGAATTCATTTCTTAGACCACTTCTGTACGCTATGAGGAGCATCAAAACAGCAATCTCTTTCCCTTCTAGACCTCTCTACAGACTTTAAATGACGTTGCCTTCAAGGCTGTGAGAGTTCAGTTGGTATTACAAAATCAAATCACCTTACTGGAACCCCACGGGGTCCTCTGCCTCTCTCCTAATTGAGTTGGACTGCCTGTCACTGTGACTTCTGTCACACTGTTTTGAATGGCCAGAGTGATGCATATTAGGTCAGTGAAGAGTAGCATAACTCGTTTCCAAAACTAAAACGAAAACAGTTACTGACGGTGCCCAAGCACGCTGCATTAAACTGTAGAAGGTATTCTAAAACACTTACCCGCCCAGGTTGCACAATTTCATGGTGCCCACTTAAGCTGTACTGAATCTGCATGAGCTTCTGAAAGTTGTCCTACGGAGAGACAGTGCAGAACGTGTGTGATGGCTGAGATCCCGGGTTCCAGAGTGTGCCAGCCCTCAATTCCCAGACTTACCCCTTGCTTCATGATGTCATTGGCATGGTTGGCTACCTCTATAACAACAGCTAGGGCATCTAAAAATGCAGAAAGGGCACTTGGTCACTGCCATTGAAGCAACAGATTCCAACATTAAGCAGTTCCAATTAACAAAAGACCTACTATGGAGCAACTACACTCTAGCGGGTGGAGAGGGACCTGGGTTGCCTGTGAGATTCAGTGACGGGATAACCAGATAACCAGGGGGAAACAGGCAAAACAAACAAACAAAAATAGCAAAACCAAGGAACAACCTAAGGAGCCACAGATCCTCTGCCAGGTGGCTTGCTGAGATGGGATTACTCTGCTGACGTTTTACAGAGTCAGGAACAGGTCTTTATCTAGTAGCTAAGACCTTTCCTACTAGAAACTGTCTCGGGGAGAGTGATTCTGATGAAGAGAGTCAGAGGCTGGAAGTATAGCTCAATGACATAGCGTGTAGTTGGCACGCCTAAGGCCCTGCCTGGCTCAGTTTGAGCACCAATAAAACCAAAACCTCCCCAAACAAAAGCAACCAGAAGAGGGCTGGGGTTCAGCCATGCCTCAGATTGATTTAAAGATGTCTGAATTAGGAATAAGAAATGAGAAGCTCTGGGAGGGACGGAGAGGAGAAAGGAAGGATGGAGAAAGGAAGGATGGAGAGAGAGAAGGGAGGGAGGGTGGGAGAATGCCACACAGGAGCACACCAGACCTTAGCATGCAAACTGCAGGCATCAATTTGTATGCTGAGTTATTTAGCTTCATGGAACAAATTTTGGTTTGTAATTTGTATTAGCCCTTTGCCTTTCACAGGTGTTTTTAAGTTTCAGCCACAGCATCTTTATATATAGCTAGATATAAAAGAAAAGCACCTATGTATTTATTCAGACAGGGCCTTGCCTGAAACCTATAATTACAGGTTGGCCTCAAACCTGCCTCAGCTGGGATAGTAACATTGGGATTATAGGCACATACCACCACACCTAGCTAAGTCTATCTTTTGTCAGTCGGATGAGACTGTGTTCCATCCAAGACAGAATGTCCCATAAAGAACATGTATAAAGACAATTTGTTATGGTGACAGGAAGATCCTACTACCCTTTGTCGGGGAGGCAGCAGAGGAGTTAACACCGTTTTCACTAACCTGAGAAAGATGCTTACCCTGCACATATCACAGGCACATTCTGAGATAAACAGGAAAAATGTTACAGGAGAAACCATGCTCTCCCAGAGCTTCATGTAAGTGGTGAACAACAAAGGAGCTAAGGCTGGCCTTACATTCTTGATCTTTTCTTGTTTGGTTTAATTTGTTTTTGGAGACAGGGTTTCTCTGTGTAGCCCTGGATGTCCTGGAACTTGCTCTGTAGACCAGGCTGGCCTCGAACTCAGAGATCTACCTGTCTCCTGAGTGCTGGAATTAAAAGTATGAACTACCACTAAATTTATCTCCTAAATTCTTGATCTCGATTCTGCTTCTTGAATGTTGGAATTATGTTTCTGTGTTACCATGCCTGCTTAGGCTACTCTGTCTAGCACCAACCCTGGAGGTTTCTGTATTCCTTAAATATGGATTCTCTTCAACATTACAACTTAAAACCCTTGTGAGTGTATGAGTGATATTCTGGAGATGAAACTTGGGTTTTCACTCATGCTAGACTAGGGCTCTAATACCGAGCTACACTCTAAACCTTACTTATCACTGTTACAAAGCAAAGTCGAGTTTCCTCATATGGCAAGCCCTATCATATGCCAGAACTCTGTGTCCTAAGTGCTGTGGTTACAGATATTTCCCACCCAAGTCTTGCTATTTTGTTTTGAGGTAGAGTGGCCTTGAACACACGATTCCCCTCATCTTAACCTCTTTTGAATGCTGGCATTCTTAGCCTGTGCCGCTACTCCCAGCTTAGCTTCCTTGATGTAATAAATAAATACAACTGATTATGAGACAATGATCGTGAATCTCTAAAAATGGCTTTGAAACAAGCTCAACGTTCAAAGATTTATTTTATGTGTATGAGTGTTTCACCTGCAGGTATATGAACCATGTGCATGCCCGATTCTTGCAGAGGCCGGGTGATGGCATCCATCTGAGCCCCAGGGACTGAGTTATGGGTGGCTATGAGCCAGTGTGTGGGTGTGGGGACCTGAATCCAGGTCCCCTGCAAGAACAAATGCTCGTAACCACTGAGCCCTATCTTTTCCCCCATGCTCACTCAAGTTTTAGATCTGAAGATACAGAATGTATTAAAAATGTGATCAAAATTCACAAACCAATGGGTGGACATGAACTGATTTACTGACTTTCTGAAGAACCAATGGTAAGCTTCTGATAACTGGAAGAACAGTAGGAGGAAAAACAGAGACTCTGACCAGATTTAATATGAGGTGGAGAGGCAGGGAGAAAGGGACAGAGAATGCACTTCCTTGTATCTTCCTTATATGAAATTCAGGGATGGAGGCACACACCTGTAACCCCCAAACCTGGGGAGACCTTGTATTCGAGGACAGCCTGTGGTACATTATATAATCTGCGGGGTGGGGTGGGGGGGTGGAGTGAGGAGGGTGGGTGTTTAAGAGGGATGGAAAGGTTAAGCCTCCAGCAATAAATGTTCTGGAAATTTCGGGCTACTTTAGATTCTATCCTTTCATGAGTTGTGTTGTTTGTCTGCAGTCACTCTGTAGCCCAGGCTAGCCTCGGACTCTGTAGCCCAGGCTAGCCTCGGTCTCTTGGCAATGCTTTCTTAGCTTCCTAAGTTCTGGAATTACATGTGTGTGTCAGCATGCCCGGCTTAAAACTTTACTCTTGATTTGTGGCTTAGTCACTTCGTGGAAACGATTTTCGAGTTGGAAACGACCTCGTGGATCATGGGGTTCAGTCTCTGGTTCTGAAGGACGGAGAAACGGACCTCTACAGACTGAATCCCCCACAGCAGAGTGGGTGGCAGCGCACGAGGAGGAAGTGCCTGGCCAGTCCCCTCTGGGGGACCCCAGTGGCTACCGTCACCTGCCTCCAGTGACACTATGCCACTTCCCCTCATTCCAGCTCCGTCTGCCTGAGGGAACTTGTAGGAAGGAGTTTCATATGAGGGTTTTGGATTTTATTCTCAGTATATTTTTCCTGCCCAGGCCTGACTGAGTGAACACAACAGCTTTTGTACAACAGAAGGCTGCAAAGGTTAGTTACCTTGGGTGTCCCTGTGATCCACAGAGTCTTCTAGGAGGTTCTTTAAATAGTCTAAAAAAGAAAAAAACAGAGTACTTAGAACAATGCCACCTGGACAACCCCAAACTCATCTCTTTGATTTATTTCTCACTCAACTATGGAAGAACAAAACCCTAGAATCAGGCACACAGCAGAACTTGACTATAAGGCAGTGGTTCTCGACCTTCCCAATGCTGCGACCCTTTAATACAGTTCCTCATGTTGTGTGACCTCCCCCAACCATAACATTATTTTCATTGCTATTCACAACCGTTGATTTTGCTACTGTTAGGAATCATAATGTAAACATCTCCAACAGTCTTAGGCGACCCCCGTTGAAAGCATCCTTCAACTCCCCAAAGGGGTTTGAGAACTACCGCTGTAAGAGGTAAGATAAGAAATCATCAGGCGTTGGAGCACACACCTACAATCTCGCCCCTGACCAGAGGTAGGAGGCAGGAGGCTCTAATGTTTGAAGCCAACACAGGCTGTCTTCCACAGGGTACACTGGCCAAACACAACACAACAAACAAAGACCATGAAATGAGAGAGAGAAGGTGTAGTATCATGTGACTAAAGCATCTTGCCTAAGTCACACAACTTTTTCTGTACCTGAGACCAAAACTGTAATCCAGGTTTCCTAATGTTTACTTAGGAAATTTACTCCATCATACACGAAATACCTTAATCTAGAGATCTAGTGTTAAGGCGCAAGACATTAATACACTCAAGGGCCAAAGGACAGGTTGTTCAATCTAAGAATAAACCAATACTCAGGACACCCAAGTCACTCCCCTCTAAACTAGCACTTTCCAAATGAAGGTACCTCTGCCCCCAGGACATCTGGCAGTTTCTGGAGCCCCTTTCCATTTCTTGGCTAGGGGAAGGGCGCTATGGCATCTGGTGCTTGGAGGTTAGGGATGCAGCCTCACAGCAGATAACTCAAATGGCTGAGGTGGAGAAACCCTAGGCTAGATGAAGATGGTATGCAAACAAACAGCATGGCGCAGTGTGCCTTACAATATGGGAACCCTTGATGAGTAATACCAAAGTATGGACTTCAGACAGCACTTACTTCTCTGTTGAGAAGTGCTGGATGTCCCTGCTATCCATCCATCCATCTTTCTTTGGAACTCAGCATCACTCACTTTCCTCACTTTCTAACTATTATATAACACAGTTCATTTACTTCCCGTGTATTTGGTGGCTCCATGCTTTCTGTTTCCGACTGCTGTCCTCTTGTAAATTCCTTCTTCTATCTCTACATATAAAACCCGACTTATATTCTTCATAGCCGTGTGTTCGTGTGTGTGTGTGTGTGTGTGTGTGTGTGTGTGTGTGTGTGTGTGTGTGTGTGTGTGTGGTGCTGGGGATGGAACCCAGGGCCTTGGACATGCTTAGCACATGGTCTATCACTGAACTGCATCCTTGGTCTTCAGTCTTCAACTGATAACTCCCAAGGCTCTTCTCAGACCCTCCCCCTGCCCTATAATACTTTCCACTCGAAAGCAATGTTTTCTCCTTTGAACAGGATGTGGCATGGCAGTTATTCACTTTATGTCTTCTCTCATTTGCAAGATTCATATTCCATCTCCCACTACCACCCAGCAAGTTCCCTAAATAAAGGCTGAAGTCAGTAATGCCAATGCTACCAGAAGTGCAGAGGAAATGGGAAGAGGAAAAAGCATGTTAGAAAGCTGTGTGTCAGCCCCAATTTCTGTCTAGCAATACCATGAACCGATATAATTCTGGCCTGAGGATTCACAAGCCATGTTCAAACAAATATGGAAACTTAGATGTTAGCACTAGTTTTCCAAAAGTAATAATGTAATAATGACAGATACACCCAATCTTCAGGGAGCCCCTGTCTCTGGGATAACTATCTAAGAGCCCATGGGTTTAGATATGTGTGTTCTATATCCAGCATGGAATGAACCTGCAAGGTGTTGTATACGACCATCGAAAGCTTCCCTGAAGCATGGCAAAGCTTCCATTCCACCAGGGAAAGTCCCTAGAAATTTAGACCTGCAGGAAGGCTTGCCTGTGATAAAGTATGTATGGAAAAAAAAATCATAGAAACACTGAGCTCTATTCTTATACACTATGCTTAGCCTCCTGTCAGACATTAAAAAACGTGCTTATTAAGGCAGGTGCAACGCTCATGCCTGTAACTCTACCTCTTAGGAGCCTGAAGCAAAAGGATCTCCTGGAGTCAAGGCTAGCCTAGACTACATGGTGAGCTTCCAGCTAGCCTGGGCAACAGAGGGAGGCTCTGTCTCAACACAACAAAAGTTATTCTCACCTTGATTCTACTCAGAATTCATTCCATATATAAGCCATGTTTGATGACTCTGTCTTTAACATTCTGTGGCTAAAAGTGCTAGTGCCCAGGCCCTGCACAGTGTTCATGCCTGTAATTCCAGCACAGGGGAAGCCAATGAGTTCAAGGCTAGCCTCCAGTCAGTGAGACACTGTCTCAAAAATGAACAAAACGAGTGTTAGGGTTTCAACCACCTTACCCTCCTTTATTTTTTAACACTGATCTATTTGTTATACGTGTATCTGTGTGAGGCATGGGCGTGCCACAATGTACATGTATAGGTCAGAGGACAAATTGCAAGCGTCTGTTCTCTCCTTCTACCATGAGGGCTTAGGGATTGAACTCAGGTCATAAGGATGGCAGTAAGCACCTTTGCTCCTGAGTCATCGTGCCAGTCCAAACTCCCCCCCCCCCCCTTAATAGCCATGCCTAACGTCCAGGTGGTTTTCCTTAAGCTTGTAATTAGCTGAAGAGTCTGAGCAGGAAAGCAGATTTACTTCAATGTCAGACGCTTGGCAAGTTCCTCTATACAGAAGTACATTTCCGCAAATAGAGTAATTTCTTTATCCCAACAAAGCTTCCTGGAAAATATGCATATTAGGAAATCCTGACCTCAGGATAGATCATTTTCCAGAGCTTGCTTGGTAAGTGTCTAAGTTGCATTTTTTTGTTTGTTTGTTTGGTTTGAGTTTGGGCTAGTGTTCAAACTAGACTGCTGACCCATCAGCTTGAGCCTTTAGGATCAGGGGCCCAGTACATTTGTTACACAGAAAATATACTAAAAGATGCTATTATAACAAGCTATTCAAGTTTTCTTTTTAAATGTACATTGGTGTTTTGCCTGTATGTATATCTGTGTGAGGGTGTTGGATCTCCTGGAACTGGAGTTATAGACAGTTGTGAGCTGCCAGGTGGGTGCTGGGAACTGAACCCAGGTCCTCTGGAAGAGCAGTCAGTGTTCTTAACCACTGAGCCATCTCTCCGGTCCCACTACCACAGGCTATTAATCAAGAAAGGAATTCAGATAGGTTACCCTTCTGACAATTTTAAAGAAGTGATACTGCTCTCTACAATTCAACTTTGTGACTCATTCATGTATCCACACATCTGTCCGTCCATCACTCTGTCCGTCAGTGATCCCCTTCAACTGTTATGAATCAGCCAGGATCTTGGCAGCAGTGTGAGGGTGATGACTGAGGTGTGAGTCAGGCAGCATCGAAACCGCCAGCTGCCATGACTGGCTGAAGCCAGGGTGAAACCCGGGAAGGAGACCAGACGGACAACCTGCACACGCAAGGGTATGTTACCACCTCCCACTTAGGACCTGGCCCTGCAGAAATGCTCCCAGGGATCATGGGGACAGTCTCATTTCGGCTATCAGGTTAGACTTGTAACATCATGCATTTCCCACCCTGCCTAAACAAATTAACATTTGTTTAAAAAACAAAAAAAAACTGTCTCAAAACCCAATGAGACCATTGTTCTTTTTAAAATCAAAACAAGGTGTAGTGGTGCATGCCTGGACCTCAGCAGAGAGGGCTGGTGGAGAGGGAAAGAAATTAAGAATTGCTAGTCTATGCACACCACACAATGTACTCTTGGACCACCAGGTGGCACCATTGATTAATTAACTCCTGAGCATCTGTCCTGTCCCTTACCACTAGTAAAGCAAAGAGAACATAAACACACCAAAGTCCAACCCCTGGGGACATGCAAGTTACCTTTCTACTCAAGTAAGGCCCGAGATGAAAGAACTTAACACTACAGCTTGTGGAAGGCCCATGTTTTCTGTACCAGCTTCTAGTAAGCCTTACAGCTCCCAATCACAACCAACTTCAAACAGAAGCAGAGGTCAACCTTTACTAACTCTCTGAGTCCTAGACTGTGTGTTGAGAGTAGCTGGTGGCAGCCCTCGGGAAACTAACTTTGGAGTATCGTTCCAGAGTAAAGTGTTCGGAAGTAGAGGACAAGGCTGGCTGTGTTTGCTCAGGGTTCCTCTCCTCCATAAATTCAGAGTGAGTTTAGCAAGACATGCAGAACTACGGGATTCTGAGAAAGGCTATTTAGCTGTGCCATAAACTTATTTTACAAAGCCTCAAAATCTGAAACAAGCAACTGAAAATTACTCTGACTCTCCAAGACTGTCTCAATTGAAATACGAAAATAAAGGTCTACGTGTCCAGTTACAGGTCTGATTTCTTCAAGGCAGCTTGGGGAAAGGCCCTTCCAAGGAATCAGAGGTTGAAATTCTTACTCCTCAGAAAGCCAAGACTGCTAAAGGAACACAGCAATAAAATGCCTCCTAACAGCATTCTGCTACATGGGGAAAGACACATTCATCCTGAACTGTGGCTGCCGAGTGAACGTTCAGGAAGAATACCCCATATACCCTAACTGAGTGTGCAGCATGTGACAAATGAGCTACATCGTGGGAAGGGCGGTGCACCGCAGAAAAATGGTTATTTACTGAAATCTGTGGGTTAAAATAGGGAACCAACTACACGGTGCACCTCACAAATCAGTACCCCCTTCCTTTGCAGTCCATAGAAGCCACAGCAGAGAACCCGGGGCCCTTCAGCACTTACTCATGTGACCAGCTGTTGCTCTTGACAGTGTATTCTGGTCAGTCCCATTTGCTTCTTTGCTACTTTGAAATCTGTGGGCACGTTCAATCCTTGCATAGATGCCAAGAAAACCTGGACACACTGGGCTC